AAGCCAGGTTTTTACAGCGTCCATATATTTCTCATTATTCGGCTAGCCGTCTGTGATTCACTTCTATGCAGGGGCGGATGGGACTTGCGGGTGTAAACACACAGAGCACCCCTATCCCAAGATATTTAGAACAACCCACCCATACCAAATTTGTAAGTGGGCCACGAACAACCCCCACCCACCCTGACTGTGTATAGGAGATCTGTTTTAACGTTTTGGTTTATGCATTTATCTGTTTTGTCAGCTTTTCTGTTTCTATACATCAGTAATGACAGCTTTTAAGGACTGTCTTTTCCTTTTTCCATTTCACCTGAAAAAAAAATAAAAAAATAAACGAAGCATAGTTTACAAATAACCTGTTACAATGTAACAGATCTACAAAAACTGAGAAATGCTTCCCGTCGTTTATAGTCAACTACAAAAACAATAGCAATATAAAAACAATTCGAATAACAACACTAACAATAACAAAGGTTAAAACTATGAAAATGCTGACGTTAAAATGGCCAAATTAACTTCGTTGACTACACAGAGAAACTAGGCAATCTTTTGAAAACTAGCAATCAATATTCAGAATAATGCTACAAAGCGAGAAGTTTTACACTGGCAGATCTAGGCACGGATGTGTAGGTGCGTGCCAACACACCAAAGATATATATCGCATCACATGCATGCAGTCGTTGTCTAATTTAAATAGGCACATGTAAGTGTGTGTGTATCGCTAAGGCAAGTTAGAGATAACGCGCCAGGCTCATGTTTTGATGTTGTTTTTAAACGATACTACAGGACATTTCAGTTCTTGCTATTTGAGATGATGTCATATATTGATGGTTAGGGCGTCTGTCACTGGCTGACGTCTGGGTTCTATTTGTGGAATTACATGTCTCTGATGTCTGCGATTGCTGGTCATTCTCACAGGTGATGTGATGTTTAATCGTTTATGTGCAAAGTATGTGTCTGTGGATATCTCAGTGGCGAAGAGTTGTTAGACCGTTTGCTCAAGCGCTTGTCACGGGCTCGAATTCGGACCCTTTCATTCTTCTTTCGTACAAATCTGTACTATTTGACCCTTGCCAAGCAAAACCAAACCACGTACCACGCCCGATGTTTTTGTACGGTTTAGAAATTTTGTATAGATATTTTTTTAATGTTGGCATTTTACGGTGGATTCAATAAGTGTTACTGAGAGAAGACCGATGTCAATTATGTATTTGGTCATGAGATTTCGCAGGGTTGTTAAAGAACAATATTAGACACACATAAATATGGAATTGAGGGATACAATAATGCAAAAACCAACCACCAATGCTGGGTCGGGATCAGCTGTAGGAAGCGTTTTCTCTCTGCTTAATGGTATTACGACTTGGAGAGAAAAAAATTGCTTTTATTTGAAGACTTCAACAAGAAATGTTTTGATGAGGTGAATGTTATTGCACCAGGACATTAATTAACATAACATAGCCTGTGATGCGTCAGGGTCATGGGGGTGCATCGATGGAACCAACCATATTTCTCTGTCTTCCGTTTGACCTGTCCAGCCTATCAAGCTCTGTATCCAGGTCATTCTTTGCCTGCCTCTTCCCCTCTTCCCCTCTACTGAGCACTGTAGTATTTGTTTTTGAGAGGTCCCCCATGAAGAACTCGACATTTCATGTCTTTATATGTTGCCTTTACTAAGTTGATAATTTTCTGTGGGATTCCATAGTGCCCCATCAATTTCCAGAGAGATTCCCTATCAATGCTGTCAAATGCTTTTTCATAGTCTATAAATCCAATGTAAAGTGGTGAGTTCAGTTCAATGCTTTGCTCTATTATAATACGTAATGTGGCTATCTGGTCAGTACAGGATCTGTTTGACCGAAAACCTGCCTGCTCATCTCTTAGCATTTTATCAATAGCATCTTTTAATCTTTCCAAAATAATTCTACTTAATATTTTTCCAGGAACTGACAGCAACATAATTCCTCTATAGTTTTCACACTCCTGTAGATCACCTTTTTTGGGCAGTTTCACAAGATATCCTTCTCTCCAGTCTGCTGGTATTTCTTCGGTTTCCCAGACTTTACTAAATAATCTATGTAGCAATTCTGTTGATGTGTTTATGTTGGCCCTGATGGCTTCAGCTGGGATACCGTCTGGGCCTGTAGCCTTTCCTTCCTTGAGAAGATTTATAGCTTTTCTAATTTCCTCTTTGGATGGTACCTCACAGTTGATATCCAGTTCCATTTCTAAAGGCTGGATATCTGGGGGAACCTCTGGGCCTGGTCTATTTAGAAGCATTTCAAAATATTCAACCCATCTGTCCTTTTGATCTTTAGTGTTAGTAAGTACCTTTCCTTGACTATTTTTGATTGATCCAGTTGGCTGACTATATTTACCTACTAATTTTCTTGTGTTACTGTAAAGTTCTCATAATTCTTTCTAGAATATGTTAAACATTGTTGGGAAGAGGAGACAACCCTGTCGGACTCCTACTGGTGTTCGGAACCAGCTCCCCATTAGTCTGTTCAACGTGGCAGCACTAGTGGCTTTGACATAAAGCTGTTTTATGCTACCTACGAGGGTTTTACCTATATTATAAAATAAGGAGATGAGAAAACCCAACTGGAAAATACCTTCATACGGGTAACAGTATCAGCGGCGCTAGAGCCTGGAAGCTCATGCAAGGTATTGTGTCCCCTTCTCTCCCACAAACATGTTTGTGGACAGATTTGCCCCCCCCCCCCCCGGTTTTTGTTTATAAATTTATTATAAATTAAAAATAATAAATATTATCATTGAGAAATCAGTCAAGCATAGGTAACGGGAGCACCCGCACCTGGAGAACTGTTGGGGGTAAGGGGGGGGGGCACATTATGCACACTCTGTGGCGCCCCTGGACAGTATTGTTAGTTAAATTGTAGTTCGATGTGTGTACCTGTAGATAGAATTAAGGAACATAAATTACTGTCGAAGGCCTGACTGTGTGGCGTTTAGATTTGCCTCAGGTATATGTGTAGGCGCATAGCCTGAAATAAAATAAAAAAGACCCTTTTCCACGCCTTTAGGCTATAGGGCATATAGGGCTAGACCTATATTTTTATAGACCAATCGGCACAAGATGGTTGATGTGGTCATCATCACGCCGGCCGCCTTTACTTTCCCGGGACTGCACCCGGTACCCACTCAAGGCTGGGTCGACCTGGGAGCCAAGGTCATTTTTGAAAATAGTCTGGCCCCGCCAGGGAGCGAACCCACGACCTTCCGATCCGCGGCGAGCGTCTAGCCGCTCGGCTACGGCGACCCCCCCCCCCCCATAGCCTGAAATAGATACTAGGAAATAAAGGGTGCACAAGTTCCTTAAACCAGCAATAACGGCAACTCGTTAAAAAAAAATCATCTGGAACGGATTGCAGTCATACTGACATGACCATTACAAGTGCCTTATCTATAACTACTTTGGATGGTTGAACAGGGTATCCGGGAATCTTCTTCTTCTTCTTTACGTCCTCTTTTACCTCTTCGGGTGTCGAGGGAGATATAAGGTCCTGCTTCGTGCTTTTCTGATTTCTTTGACCATAGACACATCGTGGTGCTGTAGAGTTTCTCTAAAGTGAAATCTTTCCAGGTGGTTCCTGGTCTACCTCTTGCTCTACGTCCCTCTCTACTTTTAGTATATGCCGTGTATGCTATATCATCAGGAAACATTATCTCCAGGTGGGCAAACCATTTGATTTTCTGTCTTTGTGTGCAGTTTAGAATTGGTTCTGTGCCGACTTTATTTGCCATCAAGATTAACATTCGTAATTTCACGATGATCAAGCCTTCGGGTTGCAGACCTGAGAGGGGAAAAGAGAAGGAATGACGTAATGTTTTCAGAAAGATAAAACCAGTCTCGCCCATCCACCGTGGACAACAGCTTACTTTGTAGCCACCATAATCGTCCTAACCGTCCCGTAACACTGCGTGTCGTGAGGTCACCAGCTGCTGTTGACCTTTGAATCAGTTCCTTTCACCTTTGACAATCAAATGCAGTGGACTTCGTGGGTGCATGTCTAAGGTCTATCCAGTCAAATTCTGTATCCAGGATTTTCTTGGTCTGGCTTTTCTCTTCTACTGAGGGCTGTAATATTTTTTTTGTTTATGCGTAGTTGGCCATTAGTGGAAGTACACACGTCCCTGCAGCGAGACGTGATCGTCATTTAGAGGCGACAGGCTCGAGTCCTGGATTCCTAACTATAGTTTTCGAATTGGAACAAGAATAGACCGACTGCTTCCACAACAAGCATGTCGTAGGAGTCGACTAACTGAAGGCATCCTTTAAAGTCGAAGTAAACCTGTCTGAAAAGCAAGGAAACAAATGTCTGCATACAGAAAAGTCAGATATATGAAACGGATGTGTACGCAACACTCAGGTTCTGGAACAAGGCTAAAGTCTTAGGTGAACCAACACCTACACCTTCCCGCAGGAGTGAGTCCCGGACAATCGGTAGGCAGGCTAAACAATTTCTTGAGGTCTCAGAGATGTGGTTTTACAGAAGAATGCTTAAAAACCCTTGGAAGACCAAAAAGAGCAACCAAGAGGTTTTGAAAAAGGTGGGAGCCAGAGGACGACTAATCACAGACATCAGAAGGAGACAGTCATCAGTCAACGAGAGATGATTCTTGACAGTCTTGTTGCATGGCAGAGAGGTGTGTCAGGACACGAACTGATAAATGCTGCAGGAGATCGCAGATTGTGGAAAGGTATGATCGCCCACGCTAGTCGGCAAGGCACCTGATAATAATGAAAAGTGACAAAAAGAAGTATCTACAATCTGCGAATCTCAAAGAGGACGAAACGTAACGAGAATCATTTTCTTCCCTTGATTTAATGACATCCGGTAATATGCTTTCACTTAGGGGGACGTGATATAAAATGTATCAGAAACTTCTAGCGATAAAGAATCACCAAGTGGATCGTAGAACTAGTATTAAAGACGCATTGAAACCTGAAAGAAGTGTGGATTTAATACACAATCATGGCACTCAAGCAAAAACTCAAGTCTCTGATGGGAGGCAAACAAGTAAGTCTGTTCTGTTGACAAAACTTCACAAAACAGACTACATACACTACACAATCTAGGCAAAAGACACTTGTCGACTGCTAGCTTGCTTACTGAAACTGAACAAACCCTGTGTCGGTAACGGGTTTACTAATTAACTCAGTTATTACTACAAATGGCACTTGAGTTTTACTCAGTTACTATCTGGTATAACACTAAAAGGTTATAGAAGAAAGAATATATTATAAACTATAAACTAAGTTGCAAAGTGAATTAATATTAAATTAACGTTAGAACGTAGACAGTGGCACGGGTTCCCATATTTTGTTTTGGATGCTTCCAGTTAAAATATTAGATTTTCAGAACAAAAACAAAAAAAGCAGTTTTTCAGTTACGAAATCATTTTATAACTGTGAAAGTGGGTTTAGAAAAATTTATTATGACATTTTGGACACAGAATAACCGTCCATTATGTTTACAGTGCTTGCAAAGCACAGATTTATTTGATTTGTGCATTACTAATGCCATTAGTCATTAGCTTTGTACACAATTTGTGTCTGATTTCCCCATATTCATTGAAAAAAAAATACAATTTGCATATTTTACTTTTGTCTTCCCTGCTGGATCTTCCAAACAAGCATAGACCCCTAATCCATGCCAAGCCCATTGTATATTTTGAGGCGACATTTGTCTACATGATTAGGTAAACAGTCTGTAGACTGTCCAGCATTGGTTGGATTTTGAGGCGACATTTGTCTACAGGATTAGGTAAACAGTCTGTAGACTGTCCAGCATTGGTTGGATTTTTAGGCGACATTTGTCTACAGGATTAGGTAGCCAGTCTTCATCTGGGGAATAGCAGTATTGATCACAGCCTTGGTACTTGCCTGGGATGCTCATAGGACAACAAGGGGCCTTACTAGTACTGACCCATATCAGGACCACACAAAGGAAGAAGACTAACAACCAAAAACAGGACAGGAACCTCAAGGACAGATGACTGGACACAATACCTTAGGAGGACTATCACCATATAAAATATAAGAAGAATGACCCGATCAAAAATATCAATTATGCCCAAGACACAATGAAGACCAGCCAGAGAGGTGGACATGCAGGACGGAATCCCCTCGAGGACCACAGAGAGGAGCCAGCGTGTTCAGAAATGACACCATCACATAAGGTTAATGACATAAGCCAGAGTTTTTGCACTGCATTGAGATTTTTCAGACTCAGGCCTGAGTTAGAAGTAGAATGGAGAACTTATGGGTTACACCCTTGTGCCATGTTGTTGATCCGTTGAATAAACATAAAGCCACAACTGCTGCCAAAGCAAACCATGTAATTCTAAGTGAAGCTGTCTTCAGCAGGGTTGAATGAGGTTAACTTTTTTTTTCTATTTAAGAATTGGGTAAACACCAACCTTCTGTAGTTGTCTTTTATGACATGCATGGTATGATATAGTGTTATTATTTTTCACTTTCACCTATGAGCTTCAGTGACACCTAAATGAACTTAGAATTAGCTGGTAGCATTTTCCAGTGTCTCTGAACCTTGTAATTGACAACAACTTCTTGTGTGTGTGTGTCTAGGACAGTCTGCAGTCTCCGTTGGAGGAAACTACATCAGACTTTCTCACAGTTGGGGCAGCAGTCATGAAGAACAAGGTCAGCATGTGTCACAGTCTCTTGATCGTTATATTAAAATCAGTATTTGTTCAGTTAGGAACAGCTGTTATATGGTCTGTCGTATATCATCTTTTCAATTTTATTATAAAGTAGTCATCCTAAAATACTTGTGTATATTTTAGAGGTAACTTTTGATATCATGTTTAACTTCTCATTTCTGTGTAGTGTGGTTACTGATTTGAGAATTGACATCACAGCACATCGGGCATACTCATAGATGCTCCGTCTCCCACTGCCAATACCTTAAGATGAAGATGCTAACTGTTCCTGTAGCACACTGATTTTATACACATTGTTCTCTTCCTCTCATACATCCTTCCTTGCCGGATTCAGTCCTGATTCCTAGTTCACACATTCTTACACATGTTATTTCATCTAATCTCCTGCTTCTGTCAACAGAATATCTCCCTTGTCCAGTACAAGTGTTCCCGTTGCTATCGCTTTTGTAGCCAGAAAATCAACTCTTTCATTCCCTCGTACTCCTGCATTTTCTGGACAGTATATCCACGTGATCCCTGTAATATTGGTGTATTGATGCTTGGTATTCACTCATGCCACTTTAGCCCATTAGTCTGTGTAGGAAAGTGTTCAAGCTGTTTTCGTATGATTTATCAGTTAATCACAGTTCCAAATTCACAACAAATGGGTCACTCCATAGTTATTCTGTGTCGGGGAAAACCACATAGAATGCCCATTGTTGTCCCTTGTGGAATAAAGTTACATAGACTGCAGTCTCAGCAAATCCAAAAGCATACACATGTATTAAATACATAAGGCAGGCATCAGAAGTGCCAATACAGACAGTCCAACACTAGAAATGCAGTTCGTCATCGATGGAAGCAGCAGTTAGAACAGATCAGTAGTTGCACCTGCAGTTAATCACATAAGGCATGACATGTTCTCAGGCAACAAGCCACTCATTGTTTCCTGAATCAGCAGTTCATAACATAAACCACTTTAGGCACAGTCAAAAAGCATTCCAAAAGAAATTCACCACTCAGTGTTGCACCATGCGGTCAGCTTAGTAGCTGGACAATGAAACTATATCCTTTCAGTCTCCATATGAAGAAAAATGCAGCGGCTAACTATTTTCAGAAGCAAAAACTTGCCACAACTAAAAATAATAAACCAGCTTATCCACCATATTGACCAGAAGTTGATGTTAAGCAGGTCAGCCACCTTTACTTGGGGAACTATGGTAATATAGTGGCTAGATGCTGACCCTGAGGTCCTGGGTTTGAGTCAGCATTTAGGAGGACAAAAAATTAAAAACAGCAAAATTGTTTTCCTCTGAGACAAATGGAGAGAGAACTGACCCGTCAGCTAAACAGACTCTCAGAAAACGAATAGTTCTCCAGTGGATCCCGGCTCACTGCGGCTTACCAGGAAATGAGTTAGTAGACAAGACTTGCAAAAAAATGGGACAAAGGAGAAATAACACACTTATTCATTGTCAGTACCAGAAATCAAATCATTCATCAAGGGAAAATACAAGGAATTGCGGAGAGGGAAAAAAACTAACAGTAAATATTCACAAGACCGCATCAGCAGACTCAACAGAAAGCAACATACAACAATTTTCTGTCTACAAACAGGACATTGCAGACTCAGCTACCACAATCATAAAGTAAAGACTGTACATTCCCCACAGTGTATCTGTCAGACATAACCACAAACACCTGAGAACATTCATCAGACCTGCCCACTCTACCTACAACTTCGAAAAGAAACCTGGCCTAAAGAGCAAAGTGGGCAGAGCAAGCTATGGGAAACCATGAAGGACCTGTTGCTGACATGTGATTTCATAGAGGCAACCCACCTGATGGTCTGATCTGAGCAAATGAAACCGAACACAAAGAAGAAGAATATTAATCATTAAGGCACATTTTTGTAATGCCCCAGGACTCCTGGGTTGACCCAGCCTAAAATGAATAATATGAAATGTGTAGGGAAGTACAGGCCCCATGTGTAATGTTGACACACATTGATTGCCAATTTATGAATTAAAAAATATAGTAAAAGTAAATAACAGTAAGGGATCACTTGGGCATCAGTGGCGTCTCAGGCATATAATGCTGGACTCATATTTGTGCAGAAAAATAAATTGTCCTTGTACTATTTGCCAGATAACTGATGTTAGAAAAAGGGTTCTTAACTTTAAACATTTTTGTAACTGCTTTATTTTATTGATAACATATCTAGGTTGTATAATGTTGGGCTAATCTGAGACTTGAACTGGTTGGGCAAAAAAAAAAAAACACCACATTTTCACTAGACAAGATTGCTCTTGTTTATTTGTAAACAGATTGAAAAGAAGCAAGTAAACCCCCATAAACGTTTTCTTTTATTTGTAAACAGATTGAAAAGAAGCAAGTAAACCCTCATGAAGGTTTTTGTTTATTTGTAAACATTGAAAAGAAGCAAGTAAACCCCCATAAATGTTTTCGTTTATTTGTAAACAGATTGAAAAGAAGCAAGTAAACCCTCATAAAGGTTTTTGTTTTTTTGTAAACAGATTGAAAAGAAGCCTGTTAACTATCACAGAGGTTTTTGTTTATTTGTAAACAGATTAATAAGAAGTCTGTTAACCCTCAGGAAGATTTTAGTTTACATGTAAACAGATTGAAAAGAAGCTTGTAAACTCATGAAGGTTTTTTATTGTTTTTGCTTTTGTTTATTTGTGAACAGATTGAAAAGAAGCCTGTAAACCCTCATGAAGAACAGGAAATCATTGATGGTATAGAGGATAAATACTACAACAATGAATCCTTCGATACCAGTTTGTATGAACTACAGGTATTGGATTGTTGAATATTATATGTTGGTGCCATTGCTTTCACTATCAGATTATATAAAAAAATAATATAACATAGTCTTTGACCCGTTAGGGTCATAGAAGTGTATCAGTGGAAGCACCAGCAAACAAAACCCACCATCTTTCTCTGTCTTCTGCTTGTTGAACAAGTGTATACTAATTGTTCCTGTCCATTTCTTGATGTTCCCATTCTAGCTTCATCTTTCAGACTCCCTTCCCCTGCCCCAATCCCTTTTGACTATCCTGCAATGTTCTTTTAAGTATAATCTTTGCAATTAAATAATGGCTCACCACGTGCCCGAACCAAGCTACCTCGTGACCTTTCACCACTGCCAGAAGAGGCTGTTGATGTCCTAAAAGTTTATTTTGTCTCTTAAATATTTGTTAGTTCTGAATAGCTATTCATAAAATGCGTTCACAGCATTTATATTTCAAAGCCTGAATCCTTCTCTTCATTTTCGCAGTGAGAATCCAACTCTCATCAGTATAAGAAGAAAGACAATGCCAGTGATTTGTATATATATCAGCCTTTACTGTTATGCTTATTTTGATCTTTTACATCGTATTCAGCTGGGACATAGGGGCTGTTGCCATATGAAGATATGTTATGTAAGTTGCTTCTGTGTTCAGATACACGGTCATGATCTTCTTCTTCTTCTTCACATTCACCAGCTGTACTATGGCAGAAAGTTCTGGTTCTTCGTCCACTTGTGGACTTTCGCCCTGTCCCAGAACTTGAGTTTTGCATACATATCCATTTTACAGATCTGGCTTGTTTGTGCGCAGACTGTTAGTTCCTTGCCTTTCAGGCAAATGCACTGCAACTTTGAAGAAAGCATTCCTAATTAGTTGACTATTATGACAAGCTTGCTAGGGGGCAGTGGTCTGTTCTTTTTTCCATGCAGTGGGACCCCTAAACCCACACATTAATATGATCATGAGGTGTCTACATTGGTATTGCCATTAGGAGTCCATTGTCTTCTTCATTTTACTTCTGTGTTTTCTTAAGTATTCTTAGTGGATGTTTTCTTTTTTTTTTAAAGGAAGAAATGTTGGTTGCATTAGGTAGACTAATTTTGTTTCATTTGAAAGATGGGTTCTTCATGTGTCAAGCAAATGATGTAGGTTGCATCAGGTTACTCACATAGAGGTTGTTAAGGTCCTTTGGGAGCAAGTGAACAATGCAGAACCATGAATGGTTACGGTGTGGAGCGAATAGTGCAGCAGGAAGTGACTAGGGAAGCTGACCGACGCTCAGAGAAAAGGAAAGAAGGACATATAATCAGACTGTTACTGGTACTGTCGGCATTGAAACTTCACTGTCTGCTGAAGATAAGGACAGAGCACTTCTGGGAAAGTGCTGAATGCTGTGATGTCAGTGTTTAGCTGAACTCAGCTGAACACATTGTTTTGTATCTGATCATTCTTGAATGATGGGATCTTCATGTATCCAGAAAAGAATGTTGGTTGCACCATCTCTACAGTAAAACATTTGAAAGTCGGGTAGAATTAGGACTGGTGGATTTTGAACATGATTGATTATTTGATGTGTTGTGAATGATGTTTTGGTGACATTGTGAATGGCAGATATGAAAGATGACTGATTACTTGATGTAATTTATTAATGTCTTTTTGGTGACATTTTGAAAAGTGCATTTGAAAGATGAGTGATTGCTTAATGTATTATTATGAATGATGTTTTGGTGACTTAATGAAAGATGGATTCGAAATGTGAGTGATTACATGATGTATTATGAATGTGTTTTGATGACATTAATGATGGTTTTGAAAGATGAGTGATTATTTGATGTATTCTGAGTAATGTTTTGATAATATTATGAATGACAGATTGGAAAGATAAGGGATTATATTATGTAATATGAATGAGGTTTTAGTGACCTTATGAATGATGGATTTGAAAGATGAGTGTTTATTTGATGTATAATGAATGATTTGTTGCCTATCTACACATTCTTTGTCTGTTATACCTGTATTTCCTGGCAGAAAAATGAAACAGATCTTCAACAGCCATAACCAAATGTTAATGGAATCAAATTATGCACAGTACATTGACAGATGATGTTTTACCAGTGTCTTAGATTATGTTAGTATGGGAAATATAGGGAATACTATTGATTCCTATTTATATGATATTCCCAGTTCAGAGTCAATCATGTTTACGATGTTTATAATTGAGTACACTATGTGCAGTCTGTGACTTGCAGTGGGAACAAAACTCATGTCCACCTGCATTAGCTACTGGTATTCTAATGACCTTATCCAAACAGGTCTGGTCCTTTAAAAAACATGATAGGTTGTCCCAGCCTCAAATGGGTACCAGGGAAGTAAAGTGGCCTGTGTGATGTTGACCGCTTGACCACATTATCCACTGGGTGCTAATTGGTCTGTACAATTATAATGGAAAGATATAAAACCAAACGAATAGAAGATCAGCGAGCTTCATAGTATAACAAACACAAATGAAACGTGAACATTGTGGCTATAGAGCCTTCATCAGCACATACATAAATCAAACAAAACCTCACAAATACACAGAATCACTTAACTGACGTATCCTGAAGCAGCCACGTTGATGACTTGCCAGTGGAATGGTCTGTAAAATGTAGGTCTAGAACTATGTGCTTGAAAGGGTCCTTTACTTTATTGTTTATTTTGATGACCAGCAAATTATTTGAGTCTGTTGATAAAATTGTGTAATCGATTATTGGTTTATGAAACTGAGTGTTTGTTTGCTAATTGATTAGAAACTGCCTGAGGTTCTGGACCTTGAGAAGATTGCAGAGGATGCTGCCAAACTTAAGACACAGTTACAGGCTGTAAGTATTATTGTTGTACTTTGAAAAAACAAAAACATGAACAGCTTTTATTTTGACATATTTTTTTCAGTGTTAAATTGTTTTAAATTTTTTTTTTTACAAAACTAGGGGTCAACCCTCAGTTATAACATGTGTTGGATAGGTATAGACCTAATTTAGAATTTTAGGCTAAAAATCAAGGGTTATTTGTCGACCAGGTCCATATAAAAACGAAACATATTTAAGAACCTTCTCTTTCTTAAGATATAAAATACAGACTGAATAAATGAATGAGTGTCTCTATTTTAGGTATCCAAACGTGTGTCAGAACTGATTCTACAAAATCACCCGGCTTACGCTGCTGAACTCCAACGTGTCATGGATCTTCAGCGGACATTAAGATCTGCAGGAGCTGTATGTCAGAATGGAAGAAGGTCAGTTTAGATCTTGTCTGTTTCTAACAGGAACGGTTATTTTGAACTACAGTCAGTATACTCGTTTAGTTTATTCCCGCATCTGTGGGTTAATTTAAGATTGACTGAATTCTTCGACATTTATAGCCTTCAGTTTCTGTGACAGGGCTTATTCATACATTCTCAGGCAGCTGGCTCACGCAAGGGAGAGCTTTACCATCGCCAGCCTGGGACTACTTGCCAACTACCGCAAACGACAGCAGCTAATTGGTTTATTGAAATCATTGCGCACAATCAAAACTCTACAACGAACAGACCTCAGACTTCGAGAGATCATGGAGGTAAGCAGTTTAGTTGTGTTTCCTTTACAGGATATTGCAGGACTAACCCTAGAATTTTTTAGGTGTTTGTGATTTTGATCATCAGAGGTGAGTAATTAACTAGGGTTTCCTTTGAAGTGACAGTGCATCTGCCTGAGGGACAAGGAACCAAGAGTCTGCAGACAAAGAAACCAGATCTGTAAAATGGGTGTGCACGTGAAACAACACTAACAGTTTTGATAAAAGATTTCAGATGATGTGACACAGATCCCCCCGATCTACCTATCACGGCTTGCTGATTTTCTAAACTAGTTGATCAGGATTAACACTTTTGCTACCTCCATTGTATATGCTGTGTTCAAAGATAAAAAGAATTATACGTTGCTGAACCTCATCCTCCTCCCTGTTTATGATATTTCTGTCTTGACCAGGAAGAGGACTATTGTGGAGCGATTCAGCTGTGCCTGGAGTGTCAGAAAGCAGCAAGCACGTTTAGACATTACAAGTGTATCAGGTTTGTGGTAACTTTAACATTTAGTTTTGTTATCACCGGGAGCCACGGTGGCCAAATGCTTACCTGTTGATGTGTAGTTGTTGGGTTCCGGTCTTTATCCAGGTGGACTTTTATAAACATCTTGTGTTTCCAGGTTGATCCAGGCTAACATAAGTACCAGGAAATGTTAAGGGATATGAAAGTGGCTGATGTGTTGTCGACCACATCACTTTGAGTGCCACTCAGTCTGTAAAAATAGGCCTAGCTCCATTTACTCAATGTTAAAAAAAAATTGCACCGGGTTCTATCCTATAGGGCTTTGTCTCTCTCAGCAGAACGGCTAGCCGCATGCTGAAAGTATTGCTCAATACACGAACCCCGTAGCACTGGTGATGATCCCCAGGGGATCACCGTGAAAATGACACCTGAGAACTGAAAAATGCAGCCGTGAAATGAACTCACGACCTTCAGAGCGCAAAGGCAAATGGCTTGACCACTTCACCACGGAGATCTCCATTTGCCTGATGTTTCACTGGGCTCGTCTGCTTCTTCTGTGTTCACCAGCAATAAATCTCTGCTGAAAAGTCCTTTTGTGCCAGGGCCTGTGTGTACATCTGTTTTACTGGCTTATTTGGTTGTTTCTTACCGGTCGGGCTGTGAGTTTTGTGTGTACATCTGTTTTACTGGCTTATTTGGTTGTTTCTTACCGGTCGGGCTGTGAGTTTTGTGTGTACATCTGTTTTACTGGCTTATTTGGTTGTTTCTTACCGGTCGGGCTGTGAGTTTTGTGTGTACATCTGTTTTACTGGCTTATTTGGTTGTTTTTTACCGGTCAGGCTGTGAGTTTTGTGTGTACATCTGTTTTACTGGCTTATTTGGTTGTTTCTCACCGGTCAGGCTGTGAGTTTTGTGTGTACATCTGTTTTACTGGCTTATTTGGTTGTTTCTCACCGGTCAGGCTGTGAGTTTTGTGTGTACATCTGTTTTACTGGCTTATTTGGTTGTTTCTTACCGGTCAGGCTGTGAGTTTTGTGTGTACATCTGTAATACTGGCTTATTTGGTTGTTTCTCACCGGTCAGGCTGTGAGTTTTGTGTGTACATCTGTTTTACTGGCTTATTTGGTTGTTTCTCACCGGTCAGGCTGTGAGTTTTGTGTGTACATCTGTTTTACTGGCTTATTTGGTTGTTTCTCACCGGTCGGGCTGAGAGTTTTGTGTGTACATCTGTTTTACTGGCTTATTTGGTTGTTTCTCACCGGTCGGGCTGTGAGTGTTGTGTGTACATCTGTTTTACTGGCTTATTTGGTTGTTTCTTACCAGTCGGGCTGTGAGTTTTGTGTGTACATCTGTTTTACTGGCTTATTTGGTTGTTCCTTACCAGTCGGGCTGATGCACTCTGACTTCAGAGGAAGCTCCCAAATGGTCAACTCTTAAGACATGTGTTTATGATAAAGCAGTGGATCTATTCTTGTTTTACCAAAAAATAGGACAGCAGAAATCACACGAGGATGCCAGTGGCATGAAAGTGGTTTTTTTAATAATGTAATTATTAGGGGCTGTAAATGAGAACCTTGAAAGTGTGATAGGAATTGCAACAACCATGCTATTGTCTTGTAACCTGTCAATATAGTTGTTAAGGATGTCACGGCCCAGTCAGGCGCTAGACTGTGAACAGTCTGTCACAGAATTCAACTGTTTTGAAACTTTCTACTCAAGTCATACACTTGCTAATCTGACAGGCATGCATCACGTAACTAGATTTTTATTCAGTAATGAATTTCTTCAGGTTGTACCCCTTTCTTGATTCTTTCCCCCCCCCCCCCCCCCTCCCCAAAGGCTAACAGAACAATGCTCCTTTTTGGTGCATGTCAGAAGTGGGGTGGCCATCTTTAAACTGTCATTATGTTGTCACTGTGTTTGTCTGCACCTTGATGACATGTGCTTCACTTCTTTAACAGCAGTAATAGCAGGTTGCAAAAGAATGCTATGGTGGGAAAGGTTGGTGGCAAGATAGCAAAAAGTGGGCAGCGATACAAGTGGGAGATGGACGGGCAGCAGTCAGAGAGAGAGAGAGTGCAACCAGGACAAGGGACAGGGGGTGTTAGAGATCCATCGCAGCCAGCCTTCACTGTGGAGACAGCACTGGATTTATTGATTCATTTTGTTTAGACTACTTAGGAATGGGAGCCACTGTGGTGTCGCGGCTAGATGCTTGCCTGCGGATATGAAGATCGCGGTTTTAGGTCCTGGCAGAACTGGACGTTTTTCTTTAAAAAATGACCCTTGGCTGCCAAGTCGACCCAGCCTTAAATGGGTACCAGGTAAGTCCTGGGAAGTAAAGGTGGCCAGCGTGATATTGATCATATCACTCACTGATTTCCGACTGGTCTATAAAATATAAGGTCCTCTTACGTAAGAATATTAGGGCTTTCTGTCCCTATTTGGGTACTGGGGCATTTTGGGGAAAACAAAAATAGACCCCTGCTCCCCCCTCCCCCACACACACACTTGTTGCAAAAGATGACTAATTAGGGGTATTTCCTTCAAAGTCAGGGTATATCTGTCTGGAACCAACAGTCTGCACACAAATAAGCAAGTTCTGTAAAACAGATATGCATGCAGAACTCATGTTCTGGCAAGCGAAACTCCGGAAGTGGACAAACAACCAGAACTTTCCGCCAGAGTTTACAGCTGGTGATTGTGAAGAAGAAGATTTCTCAGAACTGCGGCTGTATGGAATGTAAGGAAGCAATGTACAAAGACTGGCTAGCTTACCACCACAATGGTATGGGTTCCATCCTCAGCGGAGTGTTTGTGAGCAGTCTGAGAGATTAACATGACTGTAAAATAGGGAAAAGGACCCTTTCACATACCTTCGGGCCAATTCCCCATACAGTGCCAGACCTATATTTTATAGACCAGTCACTGGGTAATGTGTCAACATCACGCCGGCCACTTTCACTTCCCAGGTCTTTACCTGGTACCCATTTAAAGCTGGGTCTACCCGGAAGCCAAGGTTATTAGAAAAAAAAAAGTCCTACTCTCTTCAGATTTGAACCTATGACTTTCAGATCCGCAGGTGAGAGTGTCTAGCCGCTATACCAGGGTGGCTCCCATGTAAAATGGGTGCTATGAAATTTTTGTTTTTAAAAACCTGTGGCTACAATTGTTTGACAGCGAGTTGAGCTCCAAGCTGCAAGACACATTGGAGATGATCGAGGAGCAGCTGGACGTGGCACTGTCCAAGACTTGTGCTGGCTTTGATGAAGCTTATTACCAGAAGGTGCAGCGAGCCTACAGACAGCTTGGCAAAACTCAGGTACACACATCATCATCATCGTCGTCAACATCATCATCATTATCATCATCATCAAGTGGGCTTGTTGTAAAGCTTTCTAATCATTCTATTCCATGGCTATTCCAGTTATGGTGATGTCTTTAACTCTGTGTGTACAAGCATTCATAGATCTGCTCATTTCTTTAACACCCAGTTTGATGCGGAAGACAAGAGAACACCACCACATTATCTTCCAGTCATGAAGCAAATGAGTTGTCATTGTTGTACGGAACAGTAGTAACATTTATGAGACAAACCAGCCAGCGAAGGTGATATCCTGTGGACCAATGGTTTTTATTTAGCCTTTCAGGTGGTGCCACTTTGAATGTATGGCAAGACCCCCCCCCCCCATGCTCCCCCCCCCCCCCACCCCCGCCTGCTTTAAAAAATGTGGTTAAAAAGAGGGGGACAGATAGAAAACCCCAAACACTGTTGACAAGAACTGTGTTGTCCCATTAATTCAATTTTTAACAGTAGATGTACAAACTGCACTTGAAAACAAAAACGTCCTTGAAATTTTATTTTATAAATAGCGTTAACAAATGTTTAATTTTAATTAAACAGAAAAATGTTAGTATATGGTTTTTTTTGGGGCCAACTTGCAGAAACGACAGTATGCAGATTTGTGCAAAGTATGGCTTTGTTATTTTTTACCTCATTTAGATCTAATGGCAGTCAGGGGTGGGGGGTGATCGTTTAACTCTGTCGTAGTAGATTGGATGCCAAGATTTCTCAGATAAAAATATTAGTTGCGCATCCTTTACAGGACGTTGCAGAACCAACCCCAGCATTTTTTGGCTGTTGTGGTTTTTCTAGGCAAATTTTTTGTTCAGTAGTTTGCCATTGTCTCTGAACAGTCAGCTCTTGGGTACCACTGTCAAAACCAAAGCACATTTTCCGCAGCTGGGTTCAAAGCCAGCTCCCTGGCATTTTAAAGCGAGTTTGCAACGCCTAATCCTAAAATGCAGACTGTGATAGATAAGGGTGGTGAAATAAAAGGTAATGTATTCTCTTTACCGTGTTAAATATCTCTGGATCATTGGAAATATTACAGTTTAAGCTGCAGTTTATTGCTTTCCTGTCATAATTGCCACAATTAAAAAGCCATTTGCAGTAGCATATTTGGTAACATGGCGGTGTATTTAATGTGGATATGGAGGAGAGGAGGAAAGCACTATATTTTCCACGAATAAGTTTATGAAGAGTCACAAATGAATATATTAATTTACAATGGAGTATCGTGTTGAAACAGTTTCGCAACATACATTGAACTGAATGACACAACATGATATTTGGGTCTGACTGAAACCTTGTGTCAAAGAGGCAGTATCCAGTTAAGCTGCGTTCTTCAGCATTTCTCACCAGAACAAGTTAATATTATTTTGATGACACAAATTTCCATTCTGTTGAGACATTTTTTAAGGGAAGTAAATTTAATGTTAAAGATGTTGTCACTTAACCTGTAAGGTAGATGCTTCTGACTGTTAATACTTTTGCCCGGAAATGTTTAAAAAATAAAACACTAACCCACATAAATTCTCTACGGCTCCCAATTCTCCCCCCCCCCCTCACCACCACCGCCACACAAAAAACAACCATTTGACAAAGGTCCTAAATACTTTTTTTTGTTTGGGGGAGATAAATTAAGGCAGTGATTCTGTGACCTCATTGCGGTTCTAACACAAAGGCTGTGGATAAACTATGACATCAGAATCGCTTAAGGACAGCCATTCGGTTCATTAGAAAACCCCTCTAAATGCTGTTTTCAGTAAATAAACAGAAGCTAGTGGCTTGTTGAGAACAGGCATAGCAGAAATTCTTGGTTTGCAGGATTTACAGCATGGAGTCACAAAAAGAAATTCTGGATAATTCACCTCCCAAGAAGCTAGCCCACCTAAAAGTGCTTTTATGTGTGCCCTTTTGAAGGATTTGTACTGTGTGTGTGTTCATTGTATTTTTTTTTTAGAAACTGCTATAGTAAAATAAAGTAAACGACCCTTTTTTCACTCCTTCCTGTGTCTTGGGCATATAGGGCTAGACCTTTATTTTAAGACCAGTCAGCACTCGGTGGGTGATGTCAGAAACTGCTATGTGTAGTATTTTAGCAATTGTATCATTGGTATCATTATCAATATTTTTATGTGCTAATGAAATGTTTTTGAGCTGCTAGGTTTATTTTTGTCATTTGTGAATATATTTTACCAGGAAGATGACTAAGTTCCACTTCTTGTTTGGGCTTATTTTTCTAAAGTAAATTTATTAGTTGCTTTTTTAATTCCTGTATTTTCAGTATTTTCTGTACTTAAAATGATTGCAGTATTCTTGATAACTTATCTTTACTGTTATATTTTTTAACTCCACAATAGAACATCACCATTGAGGCATTCACTCCATGTTTGGTAGATCTGTGCAAGGCATTGTGGGAAATCATGAAAAGTTACTACAAAACGATAAAGTGGCACGAAGCACATGACCAAGAGAGTGCCAACTCTGAATCAGGTAATCATCATCATCATCATGTAGTTTTATCTGCTTGTCACTGCCCTAGCATTCTCTTTCACACAATACATCATTTGTAATACGTTTCTTCTTTTTGTTCTTGTTCTTGTTCTTCCTCATCTTTATCTTCTTCTTCGTCTTCTTTTTCATATTCTTCATCTTCATCTTTTTCTTTTTCTTTGTCTTCTTCTTCTTCTTCTTCTTCTTCTTCTTCTTCTTCTTCTTCGTATGTATGTATGTATATGAGTTTGTATGTATATGAGTTTGTATGTATGTATGTATGTATGTACGTACGTACGTATGAATGTATGTATGTATGTATGTATGTATGTATGTATGTATGTATGTATGTATGTATGTATGTATGTACGTACGTACGTACGTACGTACGCATGTGTGTGTGTGCATGTTCGTGTGTATGTGGATGTTTGTGTGTACTGGGTGCCTATGTGTTTGTGTGTAAGTGAGTGATTGGGCTTGTGTGTGTATGTGGGTGTGTGTGTTCGCGCGTGAGCGTGCGCACATATTTTACCACCCATGCTTTTGTTTTTGACTTCATATCCATAATATGCATATCATTACATGAATATAACATGCCTCATTGATGAAATACAACTGCTGTGTGAAAGATGGAAGTTTGGAAGGGCCGAATGTAAGACTGGCCTGCGTGCCTAATTTGTAACCCTTTGAAAATAAAGTTCGTTTGTTCTTTTTCTTCTTCTTCATCATCTTTCTTCTTCTTCATCATCTTTCTTCTTCTTCTTCTTCTTCTTCTTCTTCTTCTTCTTCTTCTTCTTATTTATTGTTCTTGTTCTTCATCTTTGTTCTTCTTCTTCATCTTTCTTCTTCTTCTTCTTCTTCTTCTTCTCCTCCTCCTCCTCCTTCTTCTTCTTTTTCTTCTTCTTCTTCTTTTTCTTTTTCAGTATTCCAAGTATCTGAGGTTCTTTGCTGCAGATATCACCCACGTCCATTCATCTCTCTTGTTCACTTTTTTCCCCCCTGTTAACTCATGTGCTTTTAGGTCTGTCTACCATTCTGTTGAAATCTGTCTGAATTTAAGGCTTCGATATCTTTCTGTTTCATGATGTAATGAGGTTTTACAAAAGTGGGCGTGTAAGCCTACTGCTAAACACAATTTTTATTTATTTTTGTTTCTGTGGTTTTCCAGAAGACGCCAGTGACAACATAGAAGCAAGTTTTAACCGTCGCTATGTGAATCAAAAGTTGGAATACGGCAGAGGTCGCATCTGGCAGGACGTGCAGCAGAAAGTGAAGATGTTTGTGCTGGCTACAGACCTCAGTGGGTTCAAACTGGATGATTTTATCCATGTGTTGGATATCATTAACAGGTACATAGCTCACACCTTCTTTCTTTCTTTCTTTCTTTCTTTCTTTCTTTCTTTCTTTCTTTCTTTCTTTCTTTCTTTCTTTCTTTCTTTCTTTCTTTCTTTCTTTCTTTCTTTCTTTCTTTCCTTTAAAAAAAAAAGAAAGATGTAAGTAAAGAAAGTAAAAATACTAGTTAGGGCAAAAAAAGGAGAAATTAGTGGAGCAATTTAGGCATGGATTGAAGAAAATAATCTCATTACTTGAGAATCGTCTGCTGAAATAGTAAATAAGAACTGTGTTGTCTCCACGATTTTAGAGTATATTTTACCCCTCCCACAATGTCCAAAATTGCTTGCGAACTCTCTGATTTGCTTGTGAAATGAGGAAGTGTCCGCAGAAGTGAGGACGTATAACAGCCCCGGCTATCCTCATATTTTTACAAACCAAACATCACTCAGTGGGTGCTCAAGAGCAGGCTGGCTGCCTTTACCTTCCAGAACATTTCCCAGTACTTATTTTTAGGCTGGATCTACTTTGGAAGACAGATCAATTTGAAAAATCTTCATCGGCAGGGATTTGAACACTAGGCCGGCGAGCACAAGCCTGCTAGCTACTCGATTGCCTTGTTTACGAGAAGTCACTTGACTGGGCTAAAACAAAAACAAACAAATTTCACTGCTGTCTACAGCAGTACTTTTTTTTTCCTTCTTCTTTTTTTGCCACATGGGATCACAACGTTTTCGAATAAATCCACATGCATAATGATTAGCATGAATGGTAGCAGATAAAGCAGGAGTCGTTGCCTCAGTGCACCTCGTGACATTGGAAGCTGTGTTGATAGTCATCAATTAGAAGATATCAAATGCGGTGAGAAAAACATTGTGGTTATATGCCTATGAGATAAGAACAGTAAGCAGACAGGCTGATAAACATTTACCTGCAGCGGAGATGTGGTTTTTGAGAAGAATGTAAAGAATATCATGGAGTGATTAAAACAAAACACATAAATGATGCAGTTCTCCTTCGGACAGGTGAAAGTGGTAATCTGATTTGAAAAATTAGACATAGACAGTCACAGTTCTTAAAGACGTTATGGTAAAGAACAGACTCAGGAACTTGACTGGCAACAAGTTATGTGGAAAGAGGGCAAAGGGAAGGCAAAGAGATAAATATCGGGATAGTTTAGCCATATGAATGGAGTGAGGCAGGAACAATGGCCTGATCCATGATTCTGGTGATGGTGTTGAACGGCGGAACATGACAGCTTATACTTATCAGCACAGCACATGATGAAGAGTCATGGATGTCTAGTCTTCTGCCTCATGTAAATAAAAAATAAAATACAAATGAAAAAGTAAAGATCAATTTTGTACAAGTGGTGCATCGGGCATGAGTCCAGACTCATGTTTCTATAGACCAGTCAGCACTCAGTGGGTGATGTGATAACATCACGCTGGCCGCCTTTACTTCACAGGATTTTACCTGAGGTCCATTTAAGGTTGGGTCAACCTGGGAGCCAAGGTCATCTTTGAAAAAACAAAAATCTGACACCGTGCAGATTTGAACCCGTGACCTTAGGATCTGCATGTAAGCATCTAGCTGCTACCCCAGGGTGGCTCATTCTGCCTCGTGTACCGTCTCATTCTGCCTCGTGTACCGTTTGGCAAACAAAATCATTTATCAACTAGTCAGTGGTTTTCTTTCACTGACAGAATGATAGAGATCGGAGAAGAGTTCTGTGGAAGCAAATCAGAAGCCCTCCAGGATTCCCTGAAGCAGCAGAGCTTAAATTATTTTAAGACACATCACCAGAGCAGACTGGACGAGCTTCGGATGTTCCTAGAACATGAGGCCTGGGAGCTGTGCCCTGTGAAGTCCAACTTTAACATTTTACAGCTCATGGTAAGTTGTGATCTTTCATGGTAAGTGGTGATATTTCATAGTAAGTTGTGATATTTCATGGTCAATAGGGATATTTCATGGTAAGTGGTGATATTTCATGGTAAGTGATGATATTTCATAGTAAGTGGTGATATTTCATGGTAAGTGGTGATATTTCATGGTAAGGTGATCTTTTATGGTAAGTGGTGATCTTTTATGGTAAGTGGTGATCTTTTATGGTTTAGTGGTGATATTGCATGGTTTAGTGGTGATATTTCATGGTTTAGTGGTGATATTGCATGGTTTAGTGGTGATATTGCATGGTTTAGTGGTGATATTTCATGGTTTAGTGGTGATATTGCATGGTTTAGTGGTGATATTTCATTGTTTAGTGGTGATATTGCATGGTTTAGTGGTGATATTTCATGGTTTAGTGGTGATATTTCATGGTTTAGTGGTGATATTGCATGGTTTAGTGGTGATATTTCATGGTTTAGTGGTGATATTGCATGGTTTAGTGGTGATATTGCATGGTTTAGTGGTGATATTTCATGGTTTAGTGGTGATATTGCATGGTTTAGTGGTGATATTGCATGGTTTAGTGGTGATATTTCATGGTTTAGTGGTGATATTGCATGGTTTAGTGGTGATATTTCATGGTAAGTGGTGATATTTCATGGTTTAGTGGTGATATTGCATGGTCAGTGGTGATCTTTTATGGTAAGTGGTGATCTTTTATGGTAAGTGGTGATATTTCTTGGTTAGTGTGGTGATATTTCACTGTAACGTGATATTTTATGGTAAGTGGGGATATTTCATGGTAAGTGGAGATATTTCTTGCTTAATGTAATGAAATTTCATGGTGAGTGGTGGATATTTCTTGGGTAATGTAGTAATATTTCATGGTGAGTGGCGATATTGCATGGTAAGTAGTAACATTTCAGGGTAAGTAGTGGTATTTCATGGTTAGTGGTGAGGAAAAAAAAAGACCAGTGAAGAGGACTTGAAAATAAATAGAACTAGTTACCAGCATCAGATGGAGACAGTCTACAACCTTTGGTCACGTTGTGTGAAGGGGAAAAGTGAAGTGTGCTAGGTCAACGCACAAGTTGAAGTGGAAGGAAGGCAGAGGGAGACTAGGAGAACAGATGCTGGTCAGTTTGGCATCATGGTATGTAAGAACATTTGTGCCAGATCTGATTGACCATGCAGAAGATTACCAGCCCCACATGACGTGGACTATACCAGGAAGTGTGTATGTATGTGCATGCAGTATGTGTGTTCCTGCTTGCTGATATTCAGGTGAATGTGTTGCGAGTGTGCGTTTCATGTAAGTAAATCTCCTTCTTCGCATTCACAAGCTGTAAACTGCAGCAGAAATTTCCTGTTGTTTGCCCACTTCTGGACATTAGCCTTGCTCCAGAACCTGTTTTGTGTGCGTATCCGTTTGACATATCTGGCTTATTTGTATGCAAACTGATGATTCCTTGCCTCTCAGGCAGATGCTCTCTGACTTCAAAGGAAACACCCCTAATTAGTCAAATTTTATGACACGCGGGTTATGTTTTGGTTTCTTGTTCTTCTTTGGCTTTCTGCATAAAGATCTTGTCTAGTCACACCCCTTTTAACTTGCTGTTCTTGCAGTCTGGTCATGGTTGCAGATTCACAGCCATCACTTGACTCTCCAAAACTTAAAACTTCTTGTAAAGCATTCAGTAATTCATCCTGGTCCATGGCTTGTCCACCCCTCAACATTCGCCTTACCCACAAGTCTGTTAGGTTGCTTATTTCCTGGCATGCAAGAATACTGTGGCATGAAATTGATACTGATATTTGTCAGCCCTGACTGTCTCATAGAAACCAATCACTGTCTTCAGGCCCAGCCCATCTCTATCTTCCCATGCACATATATTGAGTCAAATATTTGTTTTTGATGTTAAGGATTAGGTAAGTTTTAATAATCATTGCATCAATGAGGTAAACATGCTAACAGTTGTAACAATTTGCTTCTACAGGAATTTCGATTTATGCGGAAATGGGCCAGCTCCCGTCATTTGATCCCTGAAAATGAGGCAAGGAAGGAAGATAACTCTGACCGATCAAACCCATATATAGAGGTCAAGAGTTACTTTTCTTTATATTTAGAAGAAGGAAACCCATTTGATCGGCAGAGTGAAGAGGATGAGCGGGAAGATGTATTCTCTGGAACTGGTGTAAGTGTTCTTTTAAAATTTTATTTATTGATGATTATAAGTGATTTATTTCATGATTTTATAATCTGTAGCGTAGAATCTTTGCCACGTTTTTTTTTTTCAAAACCTGTCATCCACATATAATACCATAGTTTTTATTAAGAAAGATGGATGATTCAGTGTGCAGTTAGACACAGTTGTTGAATACAGGTAGTTGATACAATTGTTGAATACAGGTAGTAGATACAATTGTTGAATACAGGTAGAAGATACAATTGTTGAATACAGGTAGAAGATACAGTTGTTGAATACAGGTAGTAGATACAGTTGTTGAATACAGTTAGTAGATACAATTGTTGAATACAGGTAGTAGATACAGTTGTTGAATACAGTTAGTAGATACAATTGTTGAATACAGGTAGAAGATACAATTGTTGAATACAGGTAGAAGATACAGTTGTTGAATACAGGTAGTAGATACAGTTGTTGAATACAGTTAGTAGATACAATTGTTGAATACAGGTAGTAGATACAGTTGTTGAATACAGGTAGTAGATACAATTGTTGAATACAGGTAGTAGATACAATTGTTGAATACAGGTAGTAGATACAGTTGTTGAATACAGGTAGTAGATACAATTGTTGAATACAGTTAGTAGATACAATTGTTGAATACAGGTAGTAGATACAGTTGTTGAATACAGGTAGTAGATACAATTATTGAATACAGGTAGTAGATACAATTGTTGAATACAGGTAGTAGATACAATTGTTGAATACAGGTAGTAGATACAGTTGTTGAATACAGGTAGTAGATACAATTGTTGAATACAGGTAGTAGATACAGTTGTTGAATACAAGTCTGCCATTTACCTAAACCACGGGGTGTTGTATAGTGATCTGCTGGTCTACTGTCTCTCTGCTGCCTGCTTGTTTGTCTGTCTGCATACCTGGCTGTCTGTCTGACTGACTAGCTGCCTACAGTTCTGCCTGTCTCTTTATTTAGACACATAGCTTTCCCCACAGCAGCTAAACAATGCTATGGTTGGTTCTGCAACGTTCTGTAAAGGATACGCAATTAACTTAATGAGAGGAGCCTCAAATGGATAGAAAACCATATAAGAGAGATATGTATATGGTTATCTGAGGAGTGAGTTCAGTTGGGTTAACATCACAGCACTCGGGACATTCCTCAAGTGCTCTGACTCCATCTTCAGCTTCAGTTACAGTTCTGATGGTACCAGTAGCAGTGTCCATCTTTCCTTTCCTTTGAGTATTGAATGTCAGTCAGATCCCCTTTCACTTACTGCTGCACCAGTCTCTTCAGACCATGATGTTTTTACTGTTTCAGCACTGTTCACTTGCTGCCACATCTATCGTGCGTCAGGTCCCCACCAAGTGGTGCTAATCTGTCTTCCTGTTCCTTTCCCAGCACACCTGTATGCCCTTGGAAAAATATCAGAAGGATGTTAACTACCTGGGACCTCTGATGGAGAAGGCAGAAGAAAAAGCTGTATAATGAGAAGTTGAAACTTTCTGTCTTGATCCAGATGTATTGGTTTCATTGTGTTTATTCACAGTCTTTATGTGAGACCCATATGTAGCTATCTCACCTCGTAGCGATCTGTACATATAAGTTATTTCTCATGCAGGATCATGAGGATGGCTACGGAGACTCCGACAGTGATTCCGATGTCCCAGACGAATTGAAGAAAGACTATATTGATGAACTCACAGGGGAAGCTCACTCTTACAAGTAATTAGAATCTTCTTTTTAAGAAGATTGTAATATTCTAAATTACAGATGGCGAGCCATGGTGGCATAGGGGCTAGACACTTGCCTATTAGCTCAAAGGTCTTGGGTCTGAATCCACATTGAGTCGGTCCCCCCCCTCCAAAAATGACATTTAAACCTAAGTTGACCCATCCTAAATAGGCACCAGGTAAAGTCCTGGGAAGCAAAGGTGGCTGATGTGATGTTGAGCACATCACCCATTGAGTGCCATCTTCTTCATCTTCTTCTTCTTCAGCATTCTGAGCCCGTGAGGTTCATTGTTGTAGATATCACCCGCCTCCATTCATCTCTCTGGTTGGCATTGAGTGCCATCTGGTCTATAAAAATACACCTCTAGTATCAGATGCTGGATACCGCACTGTTGTGAAAAGGGTCCTTGACTCATTAAAAAAAAAACTTTTATACAGTTGAGGTATTGATTAGGACTTCCGGCCTAAAATAAAAGATAAGGAATTTTGGAATGTTAAACTTCAAAGATATTTTTGCTTCCACGTGTGAGCGGTAGTCTACGGTTTCGCTGCCAGAGCTGCTGAGTTTAGTGCTTGGTGCAGCCCTGTGAGCTGTGTTTTTCATATGGAATGCTTTTAATTTGTGCAGCGGTCGTGTTGTGGTATTCAGTATGGCTGTTAGCCTGTTTAGGTGTGTGCTGGTGAAATATGTAATAATTCTACATGTGTATAGTAGCCAAATTATCGTGTCCTACTACTTCCGTCAACAACAGACTGCATTTCTGGTGGCGACTGTTGGCTTTGGTGCCTCTAGCTACTGACATTTGCATTTACGGCGTGCGCTTATTTCTGGATTGATCCGGGACTAGTTGTTTGTTCACCAGTTTTTAAAGTGGGACAGGGAGGGACATTTCATTTGATTTTCACTGGCACAATTCAGAGCAAGTATTGGAAAACCTAATTGCAGTGAAGCTGAAACCTCGACTAGAACTAAGACCTGTTGATTTATACCCACATATGTTTAGAAAGGAAACATCAAACAGTTGACATAAAGATAAAAGACCAAAGTTTAAAACAAGTTCGACACTTGAAATACTTGGGGGGGATGTTTATTTATGATGACAGAATAGACACAGGGATTTAAACAAGATCCAACAAGCCAACCATGTCACATATCAACTGACCTCAGGTTGGAACCACCCAGCTGTCCCAACAGAGACAAAAAGACAAATGATAAATGTAATCCTCCTACCAACTTTATGCTACTAGTGTCAGACTTGGACATTGATTAAAGAATTCTAATGAAAGCAAACCACCTGAGAAACGAGAGGTTTCAGAAAGGCTATGAACAAAACTAGATCATATAAGAAACAAAGAAATTTAAAAAAAGTGTTGGAGCTCCACCTAAATTTAAGTTCATTGACTGAAATGGTTTGGTAATTTAATGAGAATGAATCCGAGGATGTCAGAAATGAGAGTGTATATAAGTAGAAACACTAAAAAAAAGTAGAGGACGACCAAGAAGATCATGGATTGAAGGGGTCACTGATACTTTGAGACAACATAACAGCATATCAGGTAACCGAGCGAGCACCACCTTGGATAGCAGTTATCTGAAAGCTTGCAATACCTAGCGGTTCAGAGCAGAATATGGAGAGAAGAAAGAAAGATTGATACACATAGAAAAAAATCATTAAAGTTGAGGGGGAGAGGACTGACTTCATCTAATTGTGTTAAAACTCAGTCTCTCTCCGCACATCTCCTGCTGAGAGCGTTGCAAAAAGCATGAACTCCATAACTCTAGTGACAGTCCCCAGGGTCACTGTAAAAACCACACTTGTGAACTGAATGACGCATCAACCGTTGGAACATGAGATGAATACTTGTCTACGTCGACCCCCCCCCCCCCCCCCCAAGCGCCCCCCCCCCCCCCCCTGCTCATAGAAATAGAGGAAGTGAATGGAAATAGCAGGACATGCTAGTCATCCTTAGGTGACATCTTTCCATGGATATTAGTAATTGTTTTAGTTGTTCTCCATGTTACTACATCAAGTATTATAGGAGGCAAATACAGTTATTCGCATCAGAAGAGTTCAGTTACAAATCTTTTGTCAGATTGTGAGAAAAGAGTGAGAAGAGTATTGTGATAGCTGGATCAATGATTAACGAGGACTCCCACAGCACTCCAGACTGGTCCATGGGAACTTCAATTTCATTTGTAGCTCAACAACACAGAGTGACTGATCACACCTGTTCTGTGTTGGTTAATTGGGTATCTTGTGAAATATTCATGTCTGGCTCCTCCATGTTGCACTTCTATCCCCAACAACTTGGATAGGAACACTGAGTCATGTTTGTCGTCTGAATCTTTGGTTTCAGGCATTTTGCATGGCATCAATGACATCACTCCTGTCCAGTGCCAGGCCACTCCTTGTAACCACGGCATTGTCTGCTAATCTGTATGTACATTGTCTCACACACCTGCTTGGCCTGGTACAAAGATAAGGGTTCTAGTCATTTATTATGAGAAAATCCATTCTTGCCTGATAAAACCAGCCTGGATTTTTTGGGGAGCATATTCATTGAGACACTCATTATGCAGGCTTGTGTGGCTTATTGAGCTCTCAGCCATGCCAATACATTGACAGCTGGAAAGGTTGAGTACATAGAGACAGGTTGACAGAAGGAGGTTATGGTGAATGGGCTGACAGTCACGTGGAAGGTGTGCAGAAGTCAGACTTACAAAGAACCCAGAAGACAACTTGTTAGCATTAATACTTGCCTGACAAGCTCAGAGAACAGTATGGAACCTTATTAGGACCTACCCATATAAGAACCTGACAACAGAAGATGATATATGTCTAACAAGGACATAAATAGGACGAGATCTCAAAGACGAAAGACAGGACACAATACTTGAAGAAGAAAACCACAATTACACATAATAAAATCACACCCAGATGACAGGAAAATGGACGTGAAACGCGGAACCCTAATCCAGACCTCAGGGCCGGAATGGAGGACCCAGACATTTTCAGAGTGACAACATCACAGGTAGGAATAATACGCCCCACACTCTTCCTGGCATAACAAACAATTTCAAGCCATGAAACTTGGTGGAAGTAAAACCAGACCCCAATTATAACTGAAGCTGTTCCCAGCATGGTTGACCCTTGTCAACTCTCCCCCCATCCCCAAACACAACAGAAGCCAGTTGCAGGAAACATGATTGTCTGTGATGCCCAATCTGGCTCGTTATGTTTATGATTTGGTTTGAAAAGAAGCAACAGCTATCTAGGCTGCAGATTTACTAGTTATTAAACTACCTATTGATAAATGTCTTCTCTCTCCAGACTTGGCAGAAAGCGTTCCACTGCTCGGAGCAGCAGGTCTCACAGGCAAAATCCTCTCATCACAAACACCACACTTAATGTCCTCAGAGTAATGGGTATGTGTTTTATGTTTTATTTTTGGTGCAATCTTTTGCGTAACTATTGTCATAATAATTTGAATTTATCCTGTCTGATAGTCTAAATTAACAACACCATAATTTGTTTTGCCCTGTTTGATATTCTAAATTAAAATCACCATAATTTATTTTGTCCTGTTTTTGATAGTCTAAATTAACATCACCATAATTTGTTTTGTCCTGTTTAATAGTCTGAATTAACATCACCATTGTATGTTTAGTCCTGTTTGATAGTCTAAATTAACATCACCATAATTTGTTTAGTCCTGTTTGATGGTTTAAATTAATATCATATTAATTTGTCTTGTCCTGTTTGATAGTCTAAATTAACAACACCATAATTTGTTTTGTCCTGTTTGATAGTTTAAATTAACATCATATTAATTTGTCTTGTCCTGTTTGATAGTCTAAATTAACATCACCATAATTTGTTTTGTCCTGTTTGATAGTCTAAATTAACATCACCATAATTTGTTTAGTCCTGTTTGATGGTTTAAATTAACATCATATTAATTTGTCTTGTCCTGTTTGATAGTCTAAATTAACATCACCATAATTTGTTTTGTCCTGTTTGATAGTCTAAATTAACATCACCATTGTATGTTTGGTCCTGTTTGATAGTCTAAATTAATATCACCATAAAATGTCTTGTCCTGTTTGATAGTCTAAATTAACAACACCATAATTTGTCTTGTCCTGTTTGATAGTTTAAATTAACATCATATTAATTTGTCTTGTCCTGTTTGATAGTCTAAATTAACATCACCATTGTATGTTTGGTCCTGTTTGATAGTCTAAATTAACATCACCATAATTTGTTTAGTCCTGTTTGATGGTTTAAATTAACATCATATTAATTTGTCTTGTCCTGTTTGATAGTCTAAATTAACATCACCATAATTTGTTTTGTCCTGTTTGATAGTCTAAATTAACATCACCATTGTATGTTTGGTCCTGTTTGATAGTCTAAATTAATATCACCATAAAATGTCTTGTCCTGTTTGATAGTCTAAATTACCAACACCATAATTTGTTTTGTCCTGTTTGATAGTTTAAATTAACATCATATTAATTTGTCTTGTCCTGTTTGATAGTCTAAATTAACATCACCATAATTTGTTTTGTCCTGTTTGATAGTCTAAATTAACATCACCATAATTTGTTTAGTCCTGTTTGATAGTTTAAATTAACATCATATTAATTTGTCTTGTCCTGTTTGATAGTCTAAATTAACATCACCATTGTATGTTTGGTCCTGTTTGATAGTCTAAATTAACAACACCATAATTTGTTTTGTCCTGTTTGATGGTTTAAATTAACATCATATTAATTTGTCTTGTCCTGTTTGATAGTCTAAATTAACATCACTATAATTTGTTTTGTCCTGTTTGATAGTCTAAATTAACATCACCATTGTATGTTTGGTCCTGTTTGATAGTCTAAATTAACATCACCATTGTATGTTTGGTCCTGTTTGATAGTCTAAATTAATATCACCATAATTTGTCTTGTCCTGTTTGATAGTCTAAATTAACATCACCATAATTTGTCTTGTCCTGTTTGATAGTCTAAATTAACATCATAATAATTTGTTTTGTTCTGTTTGATAGTCTAAATTAACATCACCATAATTTGTCTTGTCCTGTTTGATAGTCTAAATAACATCATCAGGATTGTGAAACTGTGTTTAGTTTCTGCAAGCCACAGATACTGACTTTTGTGGGATTCTTCTTCTTAGTAAACTCTGGAGGAAAGTTCCGGTGGTTTGCCAACTTCTGGACTTTTTTTTATGCGCATATCCATTTTACAGATCTGGATTATTTGTATGCAGACTGTTGGTTCCCCCATCTTTGGAAGATGCAGTCTGGCTTAGAAAGAAACACCCCTAATTAGTCCCCTTTTATAACATGCTTGTTAACGGCCAGTTCTTACTTCCCCCAAAATGGGGTCTGGAACACACACTGGGATTTTTGTGGGGTAGTCTCTATCTTAATTTGTGTTAGTGATCCAGTCCTATACATTGTCAGCATCTGACCTATTTCTGAACATTGTCAATATCTGACCTATATCTGAACATTTTCAATATTTGACCTATTTATGAATATTGTCATTATCTGACTTATTTCTGAACAATGTCATTATCTGACCTATTTCTGAACAATGTCAGCATCTGACCTATTTCCGAACAATTCCAGTACTGACCTTTTTCTGAACAATGTCAGCATCTGACCTATTTCCGAACAATGCCAGTACTGACCTTTTTCTGAACAATGTCAGCATCTGACCTATTTCCGAACAATGCCAGTACTGACCTTTTTCTGAACAATGTCAACATCTGACCTATTTCCGAACAATGCCAGTACTGACCTTTTTCTGAACAATGTCAGCATCTGACCTATTTCCGAACAATGCCAGTACTGACCTTTTTCTGAACAATGTCAGCATCTGACCTATTTCCGAACAATGCCAGTACTGACCTTTTTCTGAACAATGTCAGCATCTGACCTATTTCCGAACAATGCCAGTACTGACCTTTTTCTGAACAATGTCAGCATCTGACCTATTTCCGAACAATTCCAGTACTGACCTTTTTCTGAACAATGTCAGCATCTGACCTATTTCCGAACAATGCCAGTACTGACCTTTTTCTGAACAATGTCAGCATCTGACCTATTTCCGAACAATGCCAGTACTGACCTTTTTCTGAACAATGTCAGCATCTGACCTATTTCCGAACAATTCCAGTACTGACCTTTTTCTGAACAATGTCAGCATCTGACCTATTTCCGAACAATGCCAGTACTGACCTTTTTCTGAACAATGTCAGCATCTGACCTATTTCCGAACAATGCCAGTACTGACTTTTTTCTGAACAATGTCAGCATCTGACCTATTTCCGAACAATGCCAGTACTGACTTTTTTCTGAACAATGTCAGCATCTGACCTATTTCCGAACAATGCCAGTACTGACTTTTTTCTGAACAATGTCAGCATCTGACCTATTTCCGAACAATGCCAGTACTGACCTTTTTCTGAACAATGTTCACCCTGTTCTAAACTGTTTTTGTTGTTGTTTGTTCACAGGAAAATACCTACAGATGATATCATTCCTGAAGCCAATAGCCTTTGATGTCATAAGCTGTATGTCACAGCTCTTTGACTACTACCTCTTCACGGTAACCTGACAGATGCTGCTTTTATTATTATTTTAAAACTGGAGCAAAGAAGAAGAAAAAGGAGTAAAGGACCCTTTTCACATCTTTATGTGTGTTAGGCATATAGGGCTAGACCTGTATTTTATAGACCAATTAGCACTTTGTGGGTGATGTGGTCAGCATTATGCCAGCCATCTTTACTTCTCAGGACTCCAGTTGGTACCCATTCAAGGCTGGGTTGACCAGGAAACCTAAGTCAATATGGAAAAAATATCCAGGAGCCGAACCCATGACCTTCCAATCCACAGGCAAGTGTCTTGTCGCTAGACCATGGCTCCCATTGTTGACTTAGTGCTTGCATATATGTATAAATGTAAATTTTTGTTCATAAAAAAAGGACATCACTTGATTTGAAGCTCTAAGGCGTCTTTTGGAGAGAAAAAATTAAAATATGACCCAGGCTTATTTTCAGTGGAAAACAGTAATTTGTGTCAGTCGGGGAGCCCTAAAGGTGGGGCACAGAGAGATCACTTTGCCAGAGTCGGCACTGCACAAGGCATCCCTGCAGGTTTCCTGTAAACAGACCTTAACCTGGCTGACAAATAGAGGGTCAGCCATGATCTCTGCTATGATAACGCCTACTTCTTCTCTTCATATAGTTCATGCTGTGTGCTCTTGGTAGTCATGTCTGGCCACAACCTTCAGTCTTGTGTAATTTAAATCAGTTCTGGCACGGATTTTCTTCGATACCATGATGCCGGACTGTCCAGCATCTTCTGTTTTAGTCTCCCTTTGCCTCTTTTCCACCCCGGCCTACCCACCACCACAATGTACCCCAGTTTCTCCCTCTGATCACATGAACAAAGAATGTTGATTGTCTCCTTCTGATCACATGACCAAAGAATGTAGATTGTCTCCTTCTGATCACATGAACAAAGAATGTAGATTGTCTCCTTCTGATCACATGAACAAAGAATGTAGATTGTCTCCTTTTGATGTGGGCAGTCAGTTCTCTTCACAAGTCACTTTCTTGCAAGACATCTTCATTACTCTTTTTTCTTGTGTCCAGATTATATAAAATAACTGTGTGTCTGTCTGTCTGTCTCTGTTAAAGCTTACTTTGTTGTCACCAGTCAGCAGAAACAAGGCAACTGTACTGAATGTCTAATCTTCATGGTAGTTCCAGGACCCCATTATGGGATAATAAAAAAAGAAAGAAAAAGAATAGAACCCCCCCCCCCCCCACCCCAACACGAATGTTGAAAGAGTTTGCTAATTAAGGATGTTTTCTTTGAAGTCATATTGCATCTGCCTGAGAGATGAGGAACCAAAAGCCTGCATAAAAATAAGCCAGATCTGTAAAATGGATGTGCACACAAGACTACAAGACAAAAGTCCTGAAGTGAATGAATAACTAGAACCTTCTGCAGGAGTTTACAGCCGGTGAATATGAAGAAGAAGAAGATTGTCGGATGTGTGTATGTATGTATTTTAGTAATTGAGATATGAACAGCATAATTTCATGTTTCTTTTCTAATATCCCACATAAATTTTGAATTTTACTTATTTGTTAATTTTGTTTTCAGATTTATTCATTCTTCGGATCAGATTCAGTAAGTATTTTTATAATAAAATAAATTAATAATTAAATAATTGGATACACTATGAATGTGTGTGGTCAGTCAGCTAGTTAATGACTGGCTTCGTTGGATGAATGAATGAGTGAATGGATCAGTGTGAGTGTAATTGTTGAGTGAGTGAGTGGGAAATGAGCACCTAATTAAAAAGAGACAAAAGAAATACATATAAGTGGGAGAGGTTAGTTGCGTATCATTTTACAGTCCCTGGCTGTTGTGTGGTTTTTCTAGGCAAATTTACGTCCAGTAGTTTGCCATTGCTTTCTGGGCGGTCGGTCTCCTGATACCACTGTTGAAATCAACGCAAGGTGCATGGCCTGCAGCTGGGATCGAACCCGGCATTATAAAGCGTTCGCATCAACTTAGCCACAGAGCCGACTAAAAGTTTAGTTGCATATTCTTAACAGGGCGTTGCAGAACCAGCCCCAGCAGCCCCTGGCTGTTGTGTGGTTTCTCTAGGCAAATTTACGTCCAGTAGTTTGCCATTGCTTTCTGGACGGTCAGCCTCCTGATACCACTGTCGAAACCAACGCAAGGCGCATGGCCCGCAGCTGGGATCGAACTCGGCACCCCGGCATTAGGAAGCGTTTGCATCGACTTAGCCACAGAGTCGACTAAGTGGGAGAGAGAAAGAGAAAATGGTTGAACTTGAAGGAGAGAAAGTGAAGTGGACGGGACATTTTTATGAGCTTGACGGATTTATGGTATTATTTATTAAAGTTATTGTCGCAAGCCCACATGGGTAAATATACTGATATAGTGAGGGTGTGGGTTTGAACCTTAACAGTGCCCACCCACGTGAGAAACTGGACTAATATCTATGTTGATCCTCGACAGTCCTGGATAGCCAAGAAAACAGCGAGTGGCTCGTTCCATGAAATGAAAGTTGCTGTACTTGTATCCACAGGAGTAGGAGAAGGGATAGATAGATATCAGGATAAACCCACTGTGATATTATCTAGATACACAGTTAACCCCCCCCCCCCCCCCTTCTCCTCTCCTGGCATTACTTAAAAGCTCCCATCAAGTGATTTAAATATTTGTCAGCTGAAGTAAACTAGTACGCACAAAGACACTTGAACCTAAGTACACAATTTACTCAACTATTTTGTAACAACATGAACAAGATTTATTGAATAAATCTAACCAAAAATAACATGAACGGGTTTATGCTAGTAGAGTGAAGTTGGTGTTATTGATGACAGTTTATACATATACTTAACTCCTAAATGGAGAATTCAACCTCGGGACAGTTTTCGGCTTGAGACCCTGCCTATCCTCTTCTCCAGTTTGTCGTCCTCACTGCTTTCAAGCAGGTCGTTACACTCAGACGGTCGGCAAAGAATGGATGCCTACTAGTCCCTGCCCAATGTGGGAACTGTGATAAAGAAACAAGCGCATATGTGTAGTATCTAATCTAGATGTACACTAAGCATGTATATTATAATAACATCAAACATATTTATTTAAATAAAACAATTCATCTCTCCCTTATTTTCACATTCACTCCTGTCCAGTTTGGAAGGGCTTATGTCTCACATTGAAGCCGTTACATTTCCTGCCTTCCTCTACTCACGTCCTGTAATGATAGTCAAGTCTGCTGTGTCTGTTGTCATCTCTCGTACAGCCTCAAAATGACAATCAGTCAGACAGAACAAGTTCTGGAATCAATGCTTGGAACAATGGACGCGCGCAGAATGTTAACAATATTTCTGCGGCGAATCAAATAACAAATCTCATGGATTTACTCTCCGGGATCAATCTCCGCATTAGCCTCCCGGGAGTTGAATACATTTCAGTATGTTAGCTGTATGTAATATAGATTCACATTAACCATACGTGACAAGACTGCCAAAGTTATCTTCATGCTTGTGATTTCAAAAACATGATAGTTCATTAAATTTCAATGGTAACATCAACATTTAAGTTTTACAACATTGAAACACCTGTGCACGAAAAAAACATTCATGACACTATCAATTAGGATATAAAGCAATGTGACAGTGCCCTAAGAGAATGGAGAAATGTCCGCTAAGGAGTACTACAAAGTGATGAAGACACACACTTGAGCAAAAAGACAGTTAGATTTCTATCAGGAAATTAATGGTTTGAAACTAAATTTCCTTACCGGGAGAATGAAACCACAATGCCAAAAGTTCTGTCTCAAGCTTAGGTTTTAAGCCCAACAGATGGCATGCTCTTGACAGAGTCTCATTTACCAGTTCTAGAATCACCCTTTTATAACTTCTATTAAGCTCCTCCCACATAACTCCTAAAACCACTCTCATTCAAGGATGTCACAGCTCCTTTCCGTGGGTATGTCTATTTACTGTCAGTCAGTGACTGTACAACATTTGTTTGCTTTCCCACAGCTACATTCTCCTCGTCCATCAAGCTGACCAGAGCTAATAGGCCAAGTCACACCTCCATCCTACTTCAACCTGCCATCACCACAAAATCAGACTGTGTCAATTCTTCTGCTAACACTTTTGGCTCACTATGTCAATATTGGCCATCTGACCTGCCCTCAAGTTAGGTAACCTCAGGGGGAGATAATTACAATTAGCCTGGGTTATCTGCTCCTATAGGTCTGGCTAGAAGATTATTATCTAAGTTTTGGCAAGCGAAATCTACAGTCACAAAGTCTGAGCTTGTCAGTTTTATCTCTGTACCTTAACACTTTACAACTGGGAAAACGTTTTAGTGTTTGATATCACCAACAGTCCAGGAAAATAAAATGTTTGTTCAGGTCGCCTACTTAGATTAAGGATGTATCCAAATCCATTTATTTCTGTATACTTTAAAATACATAGAAATAAAAGTAGGTTGAGGAAAGACATTCTGAAGTCACCGAGCGTTATGATTGTGCAAATGTTAGAGTGGTGAGGCAGAAGTGAGACAGACAACACTTGCAGCACCACTTTCTCAGAAATCATGATTATTTGATATGGATGCTGAACATTATGGTTATTACGCGACCAAAGCATTAATAAGAGTGTCTGTTTATTTTTCTGTATGCCAGCCTGTCTGTCTTTTTATCCATCTATCCATTTTCCCATCCAGTTGCTCAACTGTCTATCCATCTATTTATCCATAGATCGATCAATCCATCTGGCTCCATATGGACAGTGTCATTTGAATGATACTTACTGTTTAAGTTTTCAACTCTGTGGCTTAGAAGTTAGTGAATGTGTTTCACAGTTTAATGATTTTCGATTACTAGGATTAGATACCTGGGGTGTACTATTGTTTAAGAACAATCATTTTGCAGTGTTTGGACAGTAGTATGAGAGTCTCACTGTGGAAGAGATTGGAGCTTCAGCGTGGAATATTTCCAAAGATAGCAGTGGTCCACTGTAGCCGACCTTCACTGAGGAGATGGCACAAACATGTTTGCTGGTCAAGTTTAGGAAGAGCTGAAAGGTTTTGATCTTGAACCAGAAGGGTCACCTGCTCTATATTGATCAAGTTTGTTTAGTATACCATTGACTTACAGCTCTTGTTCTCTGGCTAGTATTTGTTTTCGGTGGCCACAAACATCTCATTTGTTCTACTGGCCATTCAGCAGTATGATTTCTATCAGAAATACATCAGCTAAGTGATTTTTGTTTGTTTGTATTCTTGTTCATATTTGTGGTATGGTAGATTTATGTATGTAATAATGAAGGCTGTGGAGCCGCAGTGTTCACTTGTCATTTGTGTTTGTGATAACGTGAGGCTGACTTTCTCTGTCCATCTGGTATTAGGTCCTCTTCTAGATTTATCAAGAAAAGATATAAAACCGAACGAAAAGTATATTAGCAAGCTTCACTGTATAACAAATAAAAACAAAACGTAAACGTTACGGCTATGGCGGCCTTATCAGCACATACAATTCAAACAATACTACACAAATACATAAAATCACTTAGCTGGTATCTCAAAGCAGCCGGGTCGATGGATTCTCAGCAGACTGCGTACACGCGTGGGCTGGGGGAATAAATACCCCCTGTGAAGACCAGGGGCCATAACTGGGGGTTAGAGATAATGCTTCTAGATTTTTAACCAGAGCTTCTTGGGCTTTGGTACACATCAGTAGCTGGCCGGACCGTGTCACAGACATCACTGTTGGTGACTTGTAATCTGTTTGTCACTCCCCTTTTCTCAGGTAAACCAGCCATCATCCAACGACAGGACAGTGAACACAAGACTATATACAACTCTGCAGAGAATCCTGGACAACTTGATCGCTACTCCTGCGGCTGCTGCTGTGGCAGCTGCTGGTGGCCAGCTTCCAGACGCCACAGATATAACCGTATGTGGCACCATTTGTAGCTTTTACTGTTGAATGTTTTGGTTCTTTATTAATATCCTACCCCCAGATGACATCACAGGATAGTCCAACATTTTAGAAGATGGCTTTCTCGGCTTTCTGATGCCTTTAATGACCCCAAAACATCTAAAACTGGACCTAACCCCAACCAACCTACATCCTGTAAGAGAGTGCAGCCTAGGTCTCACGACTGCATGCAGCCTAGGTCCCACAACTGCATGCAGCCTAGGTCCCACAACTGCATGCAGCCTATCTGCCACCACCACCTGAAATATTAGACTGTCCTGTGACCTGTGAATTTCCCCTGTTTAAGGTTGTATATTAATAAAGCACCTATTTTTTCCTTTTTTCCCCTCCCCAAACTCTTAATTTTCTTCTGTCTTCTCTCCTACATGTTGTTCTGCTGTTGTGGATACTTGTTCATATCCTACTCTTACTTCCCCACCTTATCTTACTTCCCCACCTTATCTTACTTCTCCACCTTATCTTACTTCTCCACCTTATCTTACTTCCCCACCTTATCTTACTTCCCCACCTTATCTTACTTCACCACCTTATCTTACTTCCCCACCTTATCTTACTTCCCCACCTTATCTTACTTCCCCACCTTATCTTACTTCTCCACCTTATCTTACTTCTCCACCTTATCTTACTTCCCCACCTTATCTTACTTCTCCACCTTATCTTACTTCACCACCTTATCTTACTTCTCCACCTCATCTTACTTCCCCACCTTATCTTACTTCCCCACCTTATCTTACTTCCCCACCTTATCTTACTTCTCCACCTTATCTTACTTCTCCACCTTATCTTACTTCCCCACCTTATCTTACTTCTCCACCTTATCTTACTTCCCCACCTTATGTTACTTCCCCACCTTATCTTACTTCCCCACCTTATCTTACTTCCCCACCTTATCTTACTTCCCCACATTATCTTACTTCCCCACCTTATCTTACTTCCCCACCTTATCTTACTTCCCCACCTTATCTTACTTCCCCACCTTATCTTACTTCCCCACCTTATCTTACTTCCCCACCTTATCTTACTTCCCCACCTTATCTTACTTCCCCACCTTATCTTACTTCCCCACCTTATCTTACTTCTCTACCTTATCTTACTCCCCCACATTATCTTACTTCCCCACCTTATTCGCTGTCTCTCTTTTAATGTTTCTTTACCCCAATGTCTATGGCTTAGGCATTGCAAATGCTGGAGAGCTAGGTTTGATAACAGCTGCAGACAGTTTGGCAGCAGGCTGCTTTGTGTCCAAGTTTCCATGAACTGTGAATAATGTGATTCTCACTGTCAGTGGCAGGAAAGTGGCTAGACCAGGGTGGACAACCATTTTAGTCCGTCCATGAAATGTGAATAATGTGATTCTCACTGTCAGTGGCAGGAAAGTGGCTAGACCAGGGTGGACAACCATTTTAGTCCGTGGGCCAAATTTAGAGTTACCAGCCTGGTCGTGGGCCACATAGACACAAATCCATTATAAACAGAACACCCCCCCCCCCCCCCCCCACCCCATCCCCCGGTATATTCCTAAATGTGTCTGTTCAGAGAAAAAGAAAGGTCATTGCCATCTATTTTATTATCAAAGTCTGTCAATAGAAATGGTCTGAGTTTGTTCAGATATGTTTTTGACTAGTAGGATCAAAGGGCCAGTAAACATTGCTCGGCAGGCCAGTGTTGATGCGAGGGCTATAGTTTGCCAATTCCTGGGCTAGTCGCTTGCCTGCCAGCCTAAAGATCTCGAATGCGAAAAGCAGATTTTTATAAAATGTCAGGGCTTCCAGGTTGACCAACTTCAAATGGGTCCTAGGAAAGTCATTGCGACTGGCACGATGTTGGCCACACTACCAGTCTAGGGCTGACTGGTCAAAAAAAATATAGACTTAGCATGAAATACCCAGTGCTTCAGTAGTTTTGTTTACTCACTGCATTGTAGTAATGAAATCATCAATTAGCAAGTCCTTTACAGAACGTCGGTCTCCTCATGGCACACCTGAAAGTATTCCTTTCCCTAGCCAGCTCTCCAGTCCCATGTGTCTTTCAGTGGCAATGCATCTTCAATGTCTTTTATCCATCTTCGCGGTGGTCGACCTCTGCCTCGCCTCCCACAAACTGCACCTTCCATCACCGTCTTTTCCAAGCCACCATGACGCTTGATGTGGCCAAAATACTTCAACTTTCGGGACAGGATGCTTTTTATGAGCCACTTCTCCTTGATGTTCAACTCGTTCAGAATGTGGATAATTTTCCTCTTCCTGATCCATGGTATTCTAAGAATTTTTCTACAGCATTTCAATTCAAAAGCTCCAAATCTTTTTCCTCCGTGACTGAGTGAGAGTCCAAGACTCACACCCGTAGGTTGCCACAGGAAAAATGCATGATCTCAAGATTTTTACTTTAAAGCCTTGAAATGAAATAGAACCTGTTTATTTCTCACTACATTGTATTTTCTTCCTGCGGCAGGACAAGGTTCCAGCAGCCACCATGTCCCCATTAATTAACCTGAATTCCTCTTCTACGCTGTATGGTCTAGCTGAAAGAGTGGTGGCCACAGAGTCCTTGTGAGTATCCATGTAGTATGCTGTTATCTATTTTTGTCTTCCAGAAAGTGAATGTGGTAATCACACACCAAAAAAAAAAAAAAAAAAAAATTGAATGACAATTTTACCAGGCAAGCAAATAAACCCAAACCTAATAAAAGCTGTTAAAAAATGTCACCCATGTTTTTAAGTTAATGAACTTACTCATCCTGGTTAATTTACTTTTTTTTTTTTATCATTTAGAATGTTTTTGGCCAAGCAGCTTGAATATCTACATCCATACCTGGAGGAACTCATCCCTAGCAACAAGAAAGCATTCTTAAACCAGTTCTATTCTCAGGTACATTCAGTGATTCATAGGTCATGCTATGTTTCTTTACTTGTTTCCTGAGCTGTCTGTCTCAACATTTCTCTCTATCCATTTCTTTACGTGTTTTTCTCTGTTTAATTGGCTGTGTCTCAACATTTTTGTCTGTTTGTTTGCTTGTTTGTCTCTGTGTTTACTTGTTTGTCTCTGTGTTTACTTGTTTGTCTCTGTGTTTACTTGTTTGTCTCAGTTTCCTTAGCTCTCTGTCTCAACATTTCTTTGTGGCTTAGAATATCTTTAGAATAATAAGCTTTTTCATATCCGACTCTTAGTTTTCCACATCATTTTTGTCCTGTTTTGTTTGTTTGTTTGTTCCTTATCCAGTTTCTCCTTTTCTTCTCTTGATTCTTATGATCCTTATGTATGTCTCTGTCTGTCCGACTGACTGCCTGCCTAATGTCTGTCTGTATATGCCTGCCTGTCCCTTTATATATGTCTGTCTGTCTTTTTGTTTCTTTATTTCTTTCCTTCTATCTGTTTCTCTGTCTCCATCACTTCCCCTTTATCTGTTATTTCTTTAGCTCTGTGCATTTTAAAGCAAGTACAGAAATGCAAATATGTATACACATAAGTATTTATTAGGCGCAGAAACAGATATAAATACATACACACACACACACACATTAGTGTTTTCTAGACATAGAAGCAAATACAAATACGAATTTATATATAAAGATAGATAGATAGATAGATATGCACCTTTATTGTGGGAACTCTTCACTGGCCACTGAAGAAGAAGACAGAGTTTGTGTGAGAAATCTGCAAGTGCACTGATGTTAATTTTCAATTGATTAATTGATTGATTCATTGAAGTACACAAGTATTTACTAAACATGGAAGCACATGTAAATACATGCACATTTGAGTATTAGCGAGGCACAGTGGCTGTTTCTGTAAGTTAACTTTAACTTTGAGTTACACTTATCCTTTTCATTGAGACCTGACATAAAGCTTCAACTCTTTCAGTTGCATAAGATCTCAGAAGAGATGCTCAACGAGTACTTAAACCACAAGGAATAAAGCATACATACATTACTTTGACAGGGGCAGTACATAACTTCAAACCTCAAACATATTATTTTGAATTTCAAAATAGTAGATCAGATGGTCATGAGTAAACATTTTTATCACATCATGGGTTGTTTGAAAACCACGGGCAGTAGCTGGTCCCATATCATGCATTGTTTAATTGTTTAGGGCGCACAGGCAGGTAGCTCATCACACATGATGCGTTGGTTGGGACTTAATTAGTTAAAACCTTCTCTTAATCCACAACATTTTCCAGACTGTGAACATGGCGGGCGAAGTCCGTAAGCCTGTGTACGGGGTTGTGTCTCGTCAGTGTGTTAACTACGAGTTTGTGCTGCAGCAGATGAGTGTGGTCAAGTGGGATGTAAAGGAGATCATGTCCCAGCATAACATGTACATTGACACTTTGCTCAAGGTAATCTTCCTCATGTTCTGTGGTCATGTATTCTTGTAGCCTCTGGTTTTGTAGAAAGAGAATAGGGGCTTTTGTGCTGAAATGCTATAGAAAGATTCTCAGAATATCTTGGACAAAGAAGAGGAGAAATATAGACATCTTAAAAGATCTGAACATCAAGGAAGATTGGCTAATAAACAGCATCCTTTCTCGGAAGCTGAAATATTTTGGTCATATCAAGCGCCACGATGAATTAGAAAAGATTATAGCAGAAGGCATGGTACTGTGATGTGCATATGTTCATTGTGACGAGCGTAAACTTCAGCTACAGTGTGACGTGCTGTAAAGGCTGTGTGGTGATGTGCGGCGTACCAAAGTGACTAGGGCGTCGCAATGTAACAAATGGCATCAACACTTAACATGCCACTGGCCAAGAGTAACACAACATGATGAATGCTGAAGCTTCCAAACGTAGCGAAACAAGAACTCTCTTTAAAAGTTCCATTTGTGTATTGACAAATGGCAATGATCAACACAAGGATAAATATGCAATTATAATCCAGACTCATTCAAGCACATCAACAAAAGCTCGCTCGTACATCCATGGACTGATATGTCCTCACGATAGGTCGCAGTCCGACCTTGAGATCCAGACAGTAATCTTTGTCTGCGGTTCCGCAGTCTGAATTAAGCAATGAAAGTATAGCGGCTTACTGCCGAACTGTGACAATTTACCAGCTTCCTGCTGAGGTCTATATTGGAGTCCCGGGGTAAAACGTCCTCAAGGATCCAACTGTATATAACGTTTGCTTCCGTGGGATCCCGGGGTAAAGCGTCCTCAAGGATCCACACGTCCGTCTCCTTCGGACTGTAAACATCAACTGCCTTTGACAACAATACCTTCACGACGTTACGTATTGTTTTGACGTCTTATTTGCTCACTCAGTACTGGTGCGTTCTAGTGCACATTCGCACGCGACAGGTACCAGGAGGGAAAGGCAGGGACTGACCAACAAGAAGATGGATATAAGTGACTCCTTGAGTATGAAAGTACATGAGGCGGGAGAACTGGCGAGAGAACGAGTTTAACTTTCAGGCAGACTGTGATGAGAGCGGCATTCTGCAAAGCACCTGCTACATGATGATTGTGATGAGAGATGACTGCAGTAAAGGTCTTATCATGAAATCCTTTTGGTCAGTATGGTGGATTAGTAAGCTTACTGTTTTTAGTCGTGGCTGGTTTTTGCTTCTGACAGTAGTTAGCCGTTGCATTTCCCTTCATGTGTAGATTGAAAGGAAATAGTCCTGTACCCCGGCTAGTGAGTTGAGTGCATGATGCGACACTTTGAAAGCTTTTTGACTGTGCCTAATGTGGTTTGCAGTGTGAATTGTTGATTCAGAAAATGGTGTGTTGCCTGTTGCCAGAGAACTGGTGGGGCCTTATTCAATTACTTTTGTGTGCAACCACCGATCTGCTGTAACTGCTGCAACCATTGATGATTTACTGCATTTCTAGTAACAGACTGTTTGTGCTGATACTTCGGATGTCTGCCTTATGCATTTGATGCATGTTCATGTTACTGGCTTTGCTGATACTGCAGTCTGTGTCTATTATTTTGCAAGGGACAGTGATAGACATTCTGTGTGGTTTTCGTTGGCACAGTTTGCTATGAATGTTGGAACTGTGATTACTGGATATCATGAAATGAATTAACGCATACTGTGGCTAGGCAACTCATTAAGGGGAGAAAAGAGGCCACAGATGCAACTAAATGTTTCAAATGAAATATTTATTGTTGTCTACTGGAATGGTTAGTATTTATACCTTGAGACAGTGCAGAAGACGGAGCATCTATAGGTGTGCTATAGTGTCGATTCTTTAGGCATTTGACTGCAAGATTTTGGAGAAGCAGTTTGCCTATAGTCTGGCACTTTCTTAGCTATCACTGGCTATAAGATTCTTGAGAAAAGTCCTTGTTGTTCTGTTACTTCTTGATTTTGGCCTTATTAAAAGACTTTGATTGTTGCATACACATCCAGTTTTATTTGTCTTTTGTGTGTGTGCAGAATAGTGGTTCCTTGCTTGAGGCAGATGCACTCCGACCTTGAAAGAAATTGGCCAGACTCCCAGATCAGAACCAGTATCTAGGATGACCACAGTGTAGACAATTCTTCACCAGTTTGTAGGAAGTTTTTTTACTTCTGAAAACACAGATTGTCTGAGAAAAAGGTGCCAGCCCCCTTCAACCCCCCCCTCCCCCTATGTATGAAACAGTAATGCTGAAAAATTATGTTTATAACACTAATGCTGATAAACAATGTATAACAGTAATCTTGGAAAAAATACAGAAGAAATGCTGAAAATAATGTATGTAACAGTAATGCTGAAAAAAAAGTATGTAACAGTAATGCTGAAAAAAAAGTATGCAACAGTAATGCTGAACAAAATGTCTTAACAGTAATACTAAAAAAAAAATTGTCTATTAATGCTGAAAAAAATTTATGTAACAGTAATGCTGAAAAAAATGTATGTAACAGTAATGCTGAAAAAAATGTATGTAACAGTAATGCTGAAAAAATGTATGTAACAGTAATGCTGAAAAAAATGTATGTAACAGTAATGCTGAAAAAAATGTATGTAACAGTAATGCTGAAAAAAATGTATGTAACAGTAATGCTGAAAAAAATGTATGTAACAGTAATGCTGAAAAAAATGTATGTAACAGTAATGCTGAAAAAAATGTATGTAACAGTAATGCTGAAAAAAATGTATGTAACAGTAATGCTGAAAAAATGTATGTAACAGTAATGCTGAAAAAATGTATGTAACAGTAATGCTGAAAAAAAAAAAAAACAACAACTGACGCCTACAAAATGTGCTGGTGCTGCTACTGCTGCCTACCTCACACACTAAAAAAGCTTTGCCACAAGGAGCTGTGGTCCAGATGCACCGCCAGACGTGGTTGAATGTCTTAGCATTCCACATAGCACTTGATGATGATGTGTCTCTGGAACTACATAGTTTCCCTGCTATTTCCATTAACTGTGTCTGCTGCTTCTGACAGAGCTTCATGGAGTTTCATAAAAAGCTGCTGGAGCTAGACAAAAGAGTTCCTCTGCCGAAAGCTGTCACCAACTTGATCTGGGAGCAGTGTATTCGTCACGCAAATCGGATGTTTGTTGAAGGGTGAGTTGTCCCAGTAACGTGACCGAATGTGACGGAGCCTTTTCCACCCCTGTTGAATGTTGAATTAAGAATCGACATCACAGCACTTGGGACACTCCCATAAGTGCTGAGTCCCCATCTTCAGAAGCAAGCAAAGAGTTCCAATTCTGATGGTACCTGTAACCGCCTGATTGTATAGCTGTCTGATCCTTCCCCTGAGTGTTGAGCATCGGCCAGATCCCCTGGTAACTCCTCGCGACGCCATTCTCCTTAGACCGTAATGATCTATCTGCGCCTCCGCAGTGTTCACTCGCTCCCAAAGGGCCCTCACAATATTTAACTTGTCATACATCGTCTCAGCATCCCTGTTATGGAATTTTAATAGATTGAAGGATCCTTTTCCACATCTGGGATACAATTTTAATCAAGTAGAGGACCTTTTCCCAGACCTTCAGGTGTGTTGGTCATGTAATGTTGGGCCTATATTTTATAGGTGGGCAATGTTGTAGGTGGGCGGTGTTGTAGGTGGGCAATGTTGTAGGTGGGCAATGTTGTAGGTGGGCAATGTTGTGGGTGGGCAATGTTGTGGGTGGGCACTGTTGTGGGTGGGCAGTGTTGTAGGTGGGCAGTGTTGTAGGTGGGCAGTGTTGTAGGTGGGCAGTGTTGTAGGTGGGCAGTGTTGTGGGTGGGCAATGTTGTAGGTGGGCAATGTTGTGGGTGGGCAATGTTGTGGGTGGGCAATGTTGTAGGTGGGCAATGTTGTAGGTGGGCAGTGTTGTAGGTGGGCAGTGTTGTAGGTGGGCAGTGTTGTAGGTGGGCACTGTTGTAGGTGGGCAATGTTGTAGGTGGGCAAAGTTGTCAGCATCATGCCAGCCATCTTAACTTCCCAGGACTTTAGCTGGTACCCATTTAAGACTTGACTTGGTCAAAGTGGCAGCCAAGATCATTTTTGAAAAAGATAAAGATGCAGATATTTGTTATTCAAAAACAAAGTAAGCTTGATAAGTGATAACTGTCTTATAATCTAATTTTTCTTGTAATACATGTCCGTGGTGCTGTTTACACATGTCCTGTAACTATTCACTGGACACAGTAACCCTCTAACTAGATACAGTAACCCTCTCACTAGATGCAGTAACCCTCTCACTAGATGCAGTAACCCTCTCACTATTTACAGTAACCCTCTCGCTGGACACATTAACCCAGTCACTAGACACAGTAACCCAGTCACTAGACACAGCAACCCTCTCACTTGACACAGTAACCCAGTCACTAGACACAGTAACCCAGTCACTAGATACAGTAACTTTGTTCTCCACAGGTATGCTAGTTCTAAGAAGTGCAGCAACGAAGGAAGAGCTCTTATGCAGTTGGACTTCCAACAGTTTCTGACTAAAGTTGATCAGATTGCGGAGATCAGGTGAGCACAAATTCTGCACTTGACATTCTAATGTACAAACATTGGGAGCCCTCACTGTATGTAGTTCTAATGTACAAACATTGGGAGCCCTCACTGTATGTAGTTCTAATGTACAAACATTGGGAGCCCTCACTGTATGTAGTTCTAATGTACAAACATTGGAAGCCCTCACTGTATGTAGTTCTAGTGTACAAACATTGGAGCCCTCACTGTATGTAGTTCTAGTTTACAAACATTGGAGCCCTCACTGTATGTAGTTCTGATGCACAAACATTGGAGCCCTCACTGTATGTAATTCTAATGTACAAACATTAGAAGCCCTCACTGTGTTTAGTTCTAATGTACAAAATTGGAGCCCTCACTGTATGTAGTTCTAATGTACAAACATTAGAAGCCCTCACTGTATGTAGTTCTAATGTACAAACATTAGAAGCCCTCACTGTGTTTTTTTCTCGTTTGCAAACATAGAAAGCCCTCACTGGTGTGTGCTTCTTATTTACAAACATTGGGAGCCCTCACTGGTGTGTGGTATAATTTACAGACATTGGGAGCCCTCACTGGTGTGTGGTATAATTTACAGACATTGGGAGCTTTCACTGGTGTGTGCTTCTTATTTACAGACATTGGGAGCCCTCACTGGTGTGTGCTTCTTATTTACAAACATTGGGAGCCCTCACTGGTGTGTGGTATAATTTACAGACATTGGGAGCTTTCACTGGTGTGTGGTTGTAATTTACAGACATTTGGAGCCCTCACTGGTGTGTTGTTGTAATTTACAGACATTTGGAGCCCTCACTGGTGTGTGGTTGTAATTTACAGACATTTGGAGCCCTCACTGGTGTGTGGTTGTAATTTACAGACATTGGGAGCCCTCACTGGTGTGTGGTTGTAATTTACAGACATTGGGAGCCCTCACTGGTGTGTTGTTGTAATTTACAGACATTTGGAGCCCTCACTGGTGTGTGGTTGTAATTTACAGACATTTGGAGCCCTCACTGGTGTGTGGTTGTAATTTACAGACATTTGGAGCCCTCACTGGTGTGTGGTTGTAATTTACAGACATTGGGAGCCCTCACTGGTGTGTGGTTGTAATTTACAGACATTGGGAGCCCTCACTGGTGTGTGGTTGTAATTTACAGACATTGGGAGCCCTCACTGGTGTGTTGTTGTAATTTACAGACATTTGGAGCCCTCACTGGTGTGTGGTTGTAATTTACAGACATTTGGAGCCCTCACTGGTGTGTGGTTGTAATTTACAGACATTGGGAGCCCTCACTGGTGTGTGGTTGTAATTTACAGACATTGGGAGCCCTCACTGGTGTGTTGTTGTAATTTACAGACATTTGGAGCCCTCACTGGTGTGTGGTTGTAATTTACAGACATTTGGAGCCCTCACTGGTGTGTGGTTGTAATTTACAAACATTGGGAGCCCTCACTGGTGTGTGGTATAATTTACAGACATTGGGAGCCCTCACTGGTGTGTGGTTCTGTTATACAAATATTGGGATATTCCTCAAGGATGATTCATGATTGGTAAACTATGTTGGCATCTGTGTGTTGCTGTCTAGAGCACTTGCAGATGTATCTGAATATACAATGTAGTTAATCTGTTGAAAAACCAAACCAATCTGTTTTAAGTAACATAATTTTTTAAATGTACACTTTCTGCTTTGGGAATCACATGTGAAAGATGAATAGTGATGCATTGTTTCAAGAAGAGACCCAAAAAAAAAAAAAAAAACAGCTTATTTTCAATCGAGAATATTGTCAAACATTTGGTTCTTCTAAACTTTGTACACAGGCCAATTCCAGAAAGAGAATACGTGGAGGCTTATATCAAGGCCTATTACCTGCCTGAACATGAGCTGGAAAGTTGGGTGCATGATCACAAGGTAGGTGTCTGAGCTCATTTAGTTGACCAGGTGCATGATCACAAGGTAGGTGTCTGTGCTCATTTAGTTGGCCAGGTGCATGATCACAAGGTAGGTGTCTGTGCTCATTTAGTTGTCCAGGTACATGATCACAAGGTAGGTGTCTGTGCTCATTTAGTTGACCAGGTGCATGATCACAAGGTAGGTGTCTGTGCTCATTTAGTTGGCCAGGTGCATGATCACAAGGTAGGTGTCTGTGCTCATTTAGTTGACCAGGTGCATGATCACAAGGTAGGTCTGTGTTTACTTAGTTGACCAGGTGCATGATCCCAAGGTAGGTCTGTGTTTACTTAGTTGACCAGGTGCATGATCACAAGGTAGGTGTCTGTGCTCATTTAGTTGGCCAGGTGCATGATCACAAGGTAGGTGTCTGTGCTCATTTAGTTGACCAGGTGCATGATCACAAGGTAGGTCTGTGTTTACTTAGTTGACCAGGTGCATGATCCCAAGGTAGGTCTGTGTTTACTTAGTTGACCAGGTGCATGATCACAAGGTAGGTGTCTGTGCTCATTTAGTTGGCCAGGTGCATGATCCCAAGGTAGGTGTCTGTGCTCATTTAGTTGGCCAGGTGCATGATCACAAGGTGTTCATTAAGTCTGAAGGAAATCCCAGGCACATGCCATTTGGTATATTGGGACTGGAGTTGGTTTTTTCCCAACTGAATCTCTGGAGTGGCTTTCATTCTTCTTATGGCAATCAGATGTTTGATAATTAACCCAACATACAAGTTTTCTTGATATGCTCAACTCTTCTTACAACCATGAGTTTGCACCTAAGCAGAGGACTTTTCATGATGCATTGAATTCTTTTTCTTGCAATTGTATATTTTATATGTATATCAGTTGTTCATCACCATCATCATCATAAACCACTTCTGCTGTTAAGCGTTGAAGGGAGGAATAATTTGCGATCCAGTGCATGACTGCTGCCACTGGCTATTATCTAGCCGTGAAGGCGTAGAGTGTCTTTAATGTTGTCGATCCATATTTTCCGCAGCCGTCCCCTTGCTCTTGTAGTGCTTGTGATGGTATTTGATCTTGTTGCATTCTAACGAGATGGCCAGACCACTTGATCTGCTGTTTCTCGATGAATCTAGTACAAGGTGTCTTTCCCACAATTTGCCTGATAGTTTCATTATTCACTCGATCTGGGATAGTTAGGTTGGCTGCTTTTCTCGGGCATCTCATCTCACATGTGATGATTTTGTGTATATGGGCTTTAGATAGTGTCCATGTTTGGCACTGATAGCTTAATGTTGGAATGAATATGCTATTAATAATCTGTCTTTTTACACTTATAGTTATGCTTGGATATTTTATAATTATATCAGTTGTTAAGTTTTTGTAATGTTCTCAGCTCCTGTTCCTACAGCCACAGTGTAACTTTGATGATTATACTGTCGTGACTTTTCTTTCCCATTAGAGATACAAGACGGTTAACATATATACACCTTTCAATTAAATATTTGCATTTCAAATATAACTAGAAAACATAATGTGAGTTTTTCTATTCTTCCTAGTGTTCACTGGTTGTAAATTCTGGCAGATAGTTTCTGTTTGTTCACTTGTGGACTTTGATCTTGCTCCAGAACTTGAGTTTTGCTGTCTTCAGTAAAATGTGTACCTCTGATTTGTCCTCCCTTCTCTCTCTAGAAGAATTGGTGAGAGAAATGTTACATTGAAGACAGTTTGATAAACAGAGAGTGAGAGAATGTACATCAGAGATAAAGGGACATTAATATTAAAGTCAGAATGAAAAAAAAGGGGGCGGTGAGTGAGAGAACCTGGGACTACACTTCAGTTATACAAAAACAAAAGTTGATTTGAAACTTTGCCATCTTTCTCCAGGAATATTCAAACAAGCAGCTTCTGGCATTAGTGAGTTCCGTTGGCCACCTCGGCCGCAAGTCTCGACAAAAACTCATTAGCATGGTCGAAGAAATGGATAAAGGAAGGAGGTCTTGAGAAGCTACCAAAAAAAGCGTAACATGATATACAAGTGATTACAGTAGGAAATCGTTGGTTTCGGCATATGTGAAGTATGTAATAGGTGTAATTTTAATGTACTTTTATCAGTAGACTGATGGCAGGTATGGCCAGTTTGACCGATGTTGTTTGCGCCAGTTTCACCGAGTCTGCTTGTGCCAGTTTGGTTGATTCTGTGTCAGACAAGTCATCATATATGGACCAGTTATTCTGTCCAAACCAAAATACTTTCAGTTGTCATCACAGCCTCACAGCCATAAATGTGATGTGAAGAAAAGAAAATCAATGTTGGGGAATATATGGAATAACATGTGTAAATTATGTAATCAGATGTGCATTTTGTATTATTGTTTAAACTGGTTTTTAAAAAATATAATATGACAGAGAATATGATCTGCTGAAAAGATATCTGTTTGTGGGCTGAGTCAACAACTCATCTTCTTCTGTGCATTTTCACTGGCTGTGGTAGAAAGTTCTGGGTTTCATCCATCTCCGGACTTTAGTTCTTGTTTAGTGCATATCAGTTTCACACATCTAGCTTATTTGTATGCAGACTCTTGGTTCCTTGCCTCAGGCGGATGTATTCCAACCCTCGAAGAATGCTGTCCAGTTAGTCGCCTCCTACGACATGCTTGTTTGGGAGGTAGTGGGTCTGTTATGGTTTTCTCCACAATGGGTCACTAACCCCGCACTCGAAAGGAAAATAAGATTGAGATGGCAACAGTGTTAGTCTAAATTGGAGCCAGTCTGCACAGAACTGATACAACAAGCCCCTTCTCTAGGCTGAGATATTTTCAAACAGGGATCGGAGAGCACCAGCAGACTTGTCTGGAACATGATGATGGTAATCTGACTGCTGGTTGATGCAATATCTTGTAACCCACAAAGAGAAATGATTACCCACATCAGAAAGAGACAGTCTACATTCTTTGAGGAGAAAACTAGAGTACATTGTGATGTTGGGGGGGGGGGGGGGGGGAAATGAGGCAGAGGAAGACTGAGAGAGGAGATGCTGGGCAGTTTGACATCATGGCATGGAAGATCATCTGTGTCAGAGTTGACTGGAAGTACATAAAGACAGAAGGTTGTGGATAGACATGACTACCAATGCCACACCTTGTGGACGGTAAGAAGTTGATTTAAGAGAAATGACCAAATATAAATGGTGTAGTGCACAATGTTTCAATGTTTGATTTTCTGTCATGTTTAATATCATGTTTTTATTTGTGAATTGTTTGATTTTGTTCTAGCACATTAGAAATCATGAAGTTTAGATTTACACATCTAAACACTTAACAGTTTATTTATTCAACAAATCACTAATTCAATCATTCCTTTATTTATTTATACATTAATTCATTTATTCACTAATTCATTAATAGCTTCTCATCTTTTACCTTGAAGGGTAGAGATAGCTGATGACCATGAGTTATTTTGTCATAAAAATTTTTTTCGTTTGGACACTTTAGAGGGACTTATAATGTGGTTGGTGAGTATAAAACTACTTTACTATGAAGACGCCCCACTATTTTAACATAAATGCTTGATCGATTGAAATTTAAAAAAGGATGCTTAACTCTTTGAGTCCCAGGGGGTTTAGCATCACAGTCCCAGGGGGTAGTAAAGAAAGTAAAAAAATTGGCGCATCATGCTTTTATTGGGCTTCTAGGTAGGAACCTATGAACGTATGATGCGTTCCTAGGGACTCAAAGAGTTAAGGTGGGTTCCCAGACAATTGACAGACGAACAAAAAATGAACTGATTAGACCTGTCCTTGCAGGGACTTATGATGTGGTTAGCGAGTATTCAACTACTTCACCATGAGGATGCCTCACTATTTCAGCAACAGAGGAGAGAAGGTTGACTGACTTGTATCCCGCTTGACACAGTTTCACTCCACTGAGTCACGAAAATGTTGCACAAAGCACCAACTTCAAAGCTCCAAATGTTGACCCCCAGTTGGAACAACAGAGACAAAACCAAACCAACAGTTCCGAGCATGATGGCCAAAGACCTGACCACCCCTTTACCATAAAGACCCCCTGTTTTATCAGACAAACATGAGTCTAAGGCATTAACATATTTTATGCAATCTTTCTTTGTCCATTGAGACGAGCGAAAAATTCTTAAAAGCTATATAAATCTTATCTTGATATACAGAAGTTGATCATGGACAGGTGGTAGATTAGCCAAAAATTATTTAGAAGATTCAGAGATGTGGTTTTATAGATGAGTGATGAGAATACCCTGCACAGATAAAAAGAGTAATAAGGATGTCTTGAAAAAAATCTGACTGGAAGAGAACTGGTTGTCCACATCGGAAAGAGACAGTCTACGTTCTTTGGTCATGTGATGATGAGACAACTGGGGTACGTGACATTAGGGAAGCTGCAGGGGAGGAGAGGCAGAGGGAGACTGAGAGAAGAGATGCTGGGCAGTCTGACTTCATGGCGTGGCGGATTAACTACGTCAGAGTTGACTGAAAGTACACGAGACAGAAGGTTGTGGAAAGACATGACTACCAACACCACACGGCATGGTGGACCATCTGTGACAGAGCTGACTGAAAGTACACGAGACAGAAGGTTGAGGAAAGACATGACTACCAACACCACATGGCATGGTGGACCATCTGTGTCAGAGCTGATTGAAAGTACACGAGACAGAAGGTTGTGGAAAGACATGACTACCAACACCACACGGCATGGTGGACCATCTGTGTCAGAGCTGATTGAAAGTACACGAGACAGAAGGTTGTGGAAAGACATGACTACCAACACCACAGGGCATGGTGGACCATCTGTGTCAGAGCTGATTGAAAGTACACGAGACAGAAGGTTGAGGAAAGACATGACTACCAACACCACACGGCATGGTGGACCATCTGTGTCAGAGCTGATTGAAAGTACACGAGACAGAAGGTTGTGGAAAGACATGACTACCAACACCACACGGCATGGTGGACCATCTGTGTCAGAGCTGATTGAAAGTACACGAGACAGAAGGTTGTGAAAAGACATGACTACCAACACCACACGGCATGGTGGACCATCTGTGTCAGAGCTGATTGAAAGTACACGAGACAGAAGGTTGAGGAAAGACATGACTACCAACACCACACGGCATGGTGGACCATCTGTGTCAGAGCTGATTGAAAGTACATGAGACAGAAGGTTGTGGAAAGACATGACTACCAACACCACACGGCATGGAGGACCATCTGTGTCAGAGCTGATTGAAAATACACGAGACAGAAGGTTGTGGAAAGACATGACTACCAACACCACACGGCATAGTGGACCATCTGTGTCAGAGCTGATTGAAAGTACACGAGACAGAAGGTTGTGGAAAGACATGACTAACAACACCACACGGCATGGTGGACCATCTGTGTCAGAGCTGATTGAAAGTACACGAGACAGAAGGTTGTGGAAAGACATGACTACCAACACCACACGGCATGGTGGACCATCTGTGTCAGAGCTGATTGAAAGTACACTAGACAGAAGGTTGTGGAAAGACATGACTACCAACACCACACGGCATGGTGGACCATCTGTGTCAGAGCTGATTGAAAGTACACGAGACAGAAGGTTGTGGAAAGACATGACTACCAACACCACACGGCATGGAGGATCATCTTTGTCAGAGTTGACTGAAAGTACATGAGACAGAAGGTTGTGGAAAGACATGACTACCAACACCACACGGCATGGTGGACCATCTGTGTCAGAGCTGACTGAAAGTACACGAGACAGAAGGTTGAGGAAAGACATGACTACCAACACCACACGGCATGGTGGACCATCTGTGTCAGAGCTGACTGAAAGTACACGAGACAGAAGGTTGTGGAAAGACATGACTACCAACACCACACGGCATGGACTTTAAGAAAAAGAAGGTATAAACTGTGGTTGATGTTTCAGAAATTTAAAATGTTTTCTGATTGTGGTTCTCAATAGTGCGGACACAGACACTTCATTGCTCAGTTTATTGCCCAACATATTTGATAGAATCTCATCAGGCATCTGTCTCAGCAAAGATTTGAAGTCACGCAGCACTGCCGGATAGAGGATGCATTTATGAGTTAAATAAAACTTGGACCAAGCAGCCATTAAAACCCACTGAAACATTAAGGAGTTTCAAAATGACGTGACTTCTGTGACAGGCGGTTGAGTCAGGCGCAGCCGGTAGTGATCCCAAAATTTATTGCAGTCACTGAAGGCCTCCAGCCGGACTCGTATATTTTCTGGACTGACAGACATCCATCACCAAACTGGACCATCATTCACCGGTGAATTTTCATAGATTTAACATCTTCACTGATCAAAAAAGATAATGGTAACAAAGCTGGCCCTTTTTGGCGCATGTCAGTAGTGAGCTGGCCATATTTAAACTGTCATTATAACATTACCATTTTCGTCTGTACCTCTATGTGACATGCTTAACACTCTTGACATCCTTAACAACAATATTGACAGGCTACGATAGTGGCATAGTTAATGTAATTTGTATCAGACTTTTGAGGTTTTCACTTGAAGCCCTTCATGTATGTATTGTTACTTGTGCCTACCCAAAAGCCAGAACTATTATCTTTTCACCATATTTGGCTAGAGCCCATTTCACACACATAATACTTTGGACCAGATAAATGTTTCTTGATGATTCATTTCCTCAGCTCAATACTGATGTTAGAAATGAATATATACATAATTATTATATATAAGGACTGTGTACATACACCTGGTCTTGTTTCCATGAGATAAAATAAAATGAAATATTCAAAGAAAATTATAAAACTTTTTTTTCTCTCTTGAATCTGTTTTTAGAATGTAGGGTATCTTTCTGTTTAGTAGTGCTGCAATTGTTGAATAGGTTTTGTGTGTGTCAGTCTTTTTAAATGTTATGCAGCTAGTTTTTATACAGTCTTATAGTTCAATAAAGTACAACAGATGAGATGGTTTGGCCATCTGTTGATT